TGTCGCAAGAAACCGACTCTACCGTATCCACGACGAGTATCGTCTTCGATCGCATACAAGAGCGTCTCGATACCAAGGAGTTTCCGGCTCGCGGCACCGATGGCGACGACAATGACTCACTCAAGGACGAACTAAACAATGACGATCTCGAGACTGGGCCCTTCTTGGGTAATGCGAGCCCCTCTTCCCGTTCATACCAGCGCTCATCCGCCGACGGTCAGCGTATGGATCGCAGTTTGAGGAGATGGCTATTCATCGTGTCGGGAGCGCTGGTCGCCACTTGGGTCATCGGCCTGATCTTCTTCGTCTCGTCCAAGGCCTACAAGCCATCCTCCTCCTTCGCGCATGACCCCCAAGCAACAGTCACGCACGGCAGTGGAAAGAAGGTCACGCTAGACCAAGTCTTGAACAATGAATGGCGTGCCAAGAGCCATTCCATCAGCTGGATCGCTGGTGCAAACGGAGAAGATGGCCTGCTTCTGGAGAAGGAGGGCGCAAATAAAGACTACCTTGTGGTCGAAGATGTGCGAGCTCAGAACCCTTCCTCCGTTCAAGCCTCCAAAAGCAAGACCCTGATCAAAGACAAATTGTTTGAATTTGCCAACAAAACATACTGGCCTACTGTCACCGTTCCCAGCCGGGACTTGAAGAAAGTCTTGCTTGCGACCGACGTTCAGAACAACTGGCGCCACTCATACTACGCTGTCTACTGGATCTTTGACGTTGAGACTCAGCAAGCTGAGCCTCTAGTTCCCTACGATGTCGATGCTCGTCTCCAGCTGGCGTCATGGAGCCCCACCAGTGATGCCATTGTCTACACCCGGGATAACAACATGTTCCTTCGCAAACTCGACAGCGATAAGATTGTGCAAATCACCAGGGACGGCAGTGCAGACGTTTTCAACGGCGTCCCCGACTGGGTCTACGAGGAAGAGGTGTTGGCAAGTGGTGTTGCTACCTGGTGGTCCGAGGACGGCAATTATGTTGCCTTTTTGCGGACCAACGAAACAGGCGTTCCCGAGTATCCCATCCAGTATTTTGTGTCTAGACCCAGTGGCGAGGAGCCCAAACCGGGAGAGGAGAACTACCCCGAGGTCAGACAAATCAAGTACCCAAAGGCTGGCGCACACAACCCCATTGTCGACCTCAAGTTCTATGATGTCAAACGTGGCGATGTCTTCTCTGTTGATATCTCAGGCCGTTTTGCCGACGACGATCGCCTTATCACCGAGGTTATCTGGGCCGGAAAGCAGGTCTTGATCAAGGAGACAAACAGAGTGAGTGATGTGATGCGCGTCGTGCTGGTTGACGTGGGATCGCGCACTGGAAAGGCAGTCAGAACCGTTGATGTCAACGACATCGACGGTGGCTGGTTTGAGATCTCCCACAAGACCAAGTTCATCCCGGCCGATCCTGCCAACGGTCGTCCTGATGATGGCTATGTGGACACTATCATTCACAACAATGGTGATCATCTAGCATACTTCACGCCGTTGGACAATCCAAACCCCATCATGCTCACCTCTGGGGACTACGAAGTTGTCGATGCGCCATCTGCCGTTGACCTGCAAAGGAACCTGGTCTACTTTGTTTCTACGAAAGAATCCTCGATCCAGCGTCATGTCTACCAGGTCAAGCTGACCGGAGAAGATATGACACCGGTGACGGACACTTCCAAGGAGGGTTACTACGCCATCTCGTTCTCGACCGGTGCCGGGTACGCCTTGGTGTCCTACCAGGGCCCAGATATTCCCTGGCAAAAGGTCATCAGCACCCCGAGCAACCCCGACAAGTACGAGCACGTCGTGGAGGAGAACAAAGATCTCGCCGAAGCCGCCAAGAAGCACGAACTTCCTATCAATATCTATGGCACCATCAACGTTGACGGCGTAGAACTTAACTACATCGAGAGACGTCCGCCACATTTTGACAAGAACAAGAAGTATCCCGTGCTGTTCCAGCAGTACAGCGGTCCTGTCTCCCAGACCGTCAAGAAAACCTTTGCTGTTGACTTCCAATCGTTTGTGGCTGCTGGTCTCGGTTATATCTGCGTTACGGTTGACGGGCGTGGAACAGGCTTCATCGGCCGTAAGAACCGTGTCATTATCCGGGGCAACCTCGGTACCTGGGAATCTCACGATCAAATCGCTGCCGCGAAGCACTGGGCTCAGAAGGATTACATAGACGAAGACCGTCTTGCCATCTGGGGCTGGAGCTACGGCGGCTACATGACGCTCAAGACCCTCGAGCAGGATGCGGGACAGACCTTCAAGTACGGCATGGCCGTCGCCCCCGTCACCGATTGGCGCTTCTACGACAGCATCTACACGGAGCGGTACATGCGCACCCCCCAGACGAATCCCGAGGGCTACGAATCAGCCGCCGTCACCAACGTTACTGCCCTTTCGCAGAACGTGCGCTTTCTCTTGATGCACGGCGTGGCCGACGATAACGTTCACATGCAGAACTCTTTGACGCTCTTGGACGCGCTCGATCAGCGGAGCGTTGAGAACTATGATGTTCATGTTTTTCCGGATAGTGATCATGGCATTTATTTCCATAATGCTAACCGGATCGTGTTTGATAGTGAGTACTTGAATGTGTTGTTATGCCCGAGTCGACCAGAATCGCTGACTGAAATCTACACAGAACTGACTAACTGGCTGGTCAATGCTTTTAACGGCGAATGGTTGAAAATCGCCAACGCGCAGCCTAACGGCATGAAGCGGCGTGCTCTTCCCACTGCTTGACCATGATAAACAGTATCTGGTCAAGGTACATAGTTGCTCCATGCTTCTGGCGTTTGGGTGGACAAAGTAGGCGTTTCGGCTTGGTTGGTTGTCAAGCAGGTGATTAGTTTTTTTTTCTTCCTGTTTTGTTTTTGCATCCACTTTTAGGGACAGCCGAAAAAAAGAAAAAAAGACACACTATATATATGCACATATATACCCTACATATAATGTAGTTCTTTAGCTCCCTTGAGAGTCACATGCTGTTTACTGGGCCACACATGATTTGTATTACGAGGTGTCATCCTGCCAGTTCGGTCCAACCCATCCATTCGTCCAGCTGGTTCTCGGCTTCCGCCACCAAGAATCCAAACACTTCAGTGATGAACAACCGAGTTTGCAAGCGATGCTTCCAAGCGTAAGGACGAATGGATGATAGGTTGGTGGTTGGGCACATTCCCGGATTTCCCAACGTAAGGATGTAGGTGGAAGACGGTGGGAAAATAGGTAGTATTTCCCCACAAACCCGATCCGGATATTCGGGACGTGGTTCCTTTGTCGTATCGTTACATTATCATCTCAACCTCAAGATCCAGGAATGCGATCCCGGCCGAAGGGAGTCACCTATGTGTGTGCGGTTGATGATGCCATCCGCTCAAATCAGCCGGGGAGTTATGTCCCGGGGTTCAGTAAGTAGCAGCAGAGGAGTGTCAGAGATATAACAAGCTTTCCCTCCAACCGTCACAAATACCATCGTTCTTAGGTTACGGAGACGCCGATACTCCTATTTTCCCACCGTCCATCGACCTTTCGGACAAGATGCTCACCCCAACCATCCTCACCCTTCTATTCACCCTAGCAACCACCGCGCTCGCCGTTCCCCATCCCCACGCCGCGTTAATCAAATGCCCTCTAATCTTCGACGGCCGCATCAAGACCCGTACACAGCTAATCGACTTCGACAGCCCTGCCACCTCCCTCTTCAACCCGGACAATGTCAAGGGATCCAGTCTCAAATGGAGCCAGATCATTCGATTTCCTGAGGGGGACAAGGGGAGCCGCTTTGATAGTTGCAGCTATAAACCTCTGGAGGTGACTATTACCGATGCGAGTGTGTTCAAGACACAGTATGGGTTTAGGAGGGCTGGGTTAATTTTCAATGGGGAGTGAGTACACCCTAATGACCGGTTGTGATAATTGGCAAGATATTTGGGGAGTAAGGCGGTATGGAGGTTGGTTGGGATTTGGGAAGATATTTACTGATATTGAACTGGAAAATCTAGCAAAAACATCGGCAGCCCTGCGTCCAGAGGAGTGAAGACACTGCATTTTAGTGTCAAGCAGGATGAGGCGAGAGGGTTGAATTTGACGCATGAGTATCTTGTAAGCTTTGGTCCTTTTCTTTCCTTTCCTTCTCTCCCTTCCTCCTTTCTCTTTTTCTTTGTTTTCTGCTCCATGCTTCCCTTGGTCGTCAATTCGTGTTACTGACTGGCCCGTGTAATAGAACGTCTGGCACGAAACCTCCGACTGGTCCGCCAACCAATTCAACTTTCAAACCGGCACCATCATCGGCCAGGAAGGCAGCCTAGCCAAGAACACCTTCAAGATCTTGAGCCGGGAGAACAAGTTGATCTGGTCGACGCCTATTGAGCAGAAGGAGTGGCAGAATTTTGCTATTACTCTGGATTTCAACAAGAAGCATGTTGCTTTCCCCGGTTCTTCGTCCTTGATTTCATTGACTGACCAAAAAGATAACAGCACGCTACGCCTCTACTATTCCAAAGGCCATGAACCTTTGCGTAGTGTCACTCAGGCTGTGCCGAACAATAATGCGGGAGAAGGCCAATATCAGATTGGCATTCTCAAGAAGCCTACTGGCACTGATGATGTGGTAAATTCGGGGTATCAGGAGAGTGGCACCGATGAAGGACAGATCTACGGGGGGATTTTCATCGAGGATAGTGCAAATGGGTGTGTGTCTCTGTAGTATGTGGTTGTACGGGATGATACCTCGTACGGTATATGAGAGAGCCGTGACAGCATCAAGTTGGGAAAATATCGATTGGGCAGCATATCTAGGTAAAGCATTTCCATGTTCTTCCTACCTCTCCCCCTCAATGAATGGTGTGACAAGCTAGGATGTCCCAATTCCACGATTCGATATCCTTGGACAACTACTTAGCCGATGATGATGAACATTCAACCCAAGCAAGTTGCGCGCATGCCCACTTCAAGCACTCAGCACCTATTCCCCATGAAACTACCACGGGATTAACCCAACTCAGAGGACCTATAAGCCGGCACCGAAAAGTTCTCCGGCCCCTCATACACCTGATGCCGAAAGATATCATCCCCCATCATCGGTATGCAATCTGGAGTGACTTTATACACGGCCGTGTCCGCCACCCGATCGTTTATCCGGCGTACAATCAACAATGCTGCGCTGCCGTCCGGTTGTTCAGTCCATTTGAAGGAGACACCTGGTCCCGTGGTTGTGATGTTACTCTGGTGGTTATTAGTTCCGGTCCCGTTTCCACCGTACCCGCTGCCAACATCACCTGGATCTGTTGGACACCACGTCTGCGGGATGCTGGTTAACTGGTGGTTAACGGTCGTGCCCATTGCTTCGCAGTGCACGGGGACGGCTTCGTTATAAAAGGTAACGTTGAATTTGTAGCTAGAGTGAGGTGGATCGGGAGATTAGTGGGTTGTTGTTCTGCTGGAAAATACATAGAAGGAGAGAGACTCTATGCAAGGAAGGTGGGTGACGTGAGAGCACTTACAAGTTTCGGTTACTGAGGACCATGGCTGATGCCTCAAAGTTGGTGACGTTGAAGGCCGGGACTTGGTTCAGGTCATGACCGTCGTCGAGAACGGCAGGGGTAGGGCTTGCATGCGTGGTGATACTAGCGACGCCCAGGAGAAGGAGATATAGGAGTCGGATGTACATTGTTTCTGGGAATTAAATATCGGTAGAACGGTTTCTCGATGGCGGGCCAAGGATGCTGTTTGAGAGAGCACCAAGCCGTTGCGAGGTGATACAGGTAGCAAGGTGAAAGACGGATGCGGTTCAGAACGAGTGTAGCAGGTTGGCGAGATCTTCACATGGGATGTCAGAAAGGAACTGGTAGGTCTCTTGGGAATTATCTATTGATATAGGTAGTGGTCGACATCCTCCATAATGACAACTCGAGGGACAGGACAACGTCATAAGCCGCATCAACTTGATGCCATTGACAGAACTTTCCAAGTGCAACTCCGGACAAAACGGAGGAAGGTACGAGCAGATGAAAGACCAGTAAGTATTTTTAGGCTTTCAGGAAGATGATGTTATTTGAACCTCCATGTCACGCAAGACATGTTTGGGCGACGGAGTCCCTGACCTCCCAGCGAACTTGTCTGTCTTTCACTGACATTTACAACCTTTTTCTGGAGACCGAGTCCGTGAATTGGTCGATCATGTTAGCCTTCCTGACGTGACAGATCCCGCATCCGACACCAAGGTCTGTCACGTCTTCATCTCTTTGGTGTACGAGGAGACTCACAGGAGGCGGTCTCCTGCAACTTTGGTGTTTCGGAAACAACTGCAACAACGAGTTTCGTTTGAAATAGTAGATGTTCCGCGTGAGAAGCGGTGGCAATAAACGGAAAGCTTTTTCGAAGCCATCCTAAGGGCAGCCCGAGATGAGATATCTCCTATGAGTTGGTCTTCGGTATGACCAGCCTTCGGTGGATAGGCTCACAACAACAAGCCGGATCGCTGAGGCAGGCCGTCAAACAGGCGACCAGAGATTACTGGGGTCTGAGCGACATCTGATATACAGTGATTCGGGATAAGGTCGATCCCAAGGGGGAAAATGGCCTGTGGATTATGTTCCTTGTCTGGAGTGTAGAGACCCTCTTGCCATCCATGTCGTCTTGTTTGATGCACAACATGAGGAAGCCGCAAGTACCTAGCTTTGGCATATTGGTTTCGACACGGGTAATTCTTGGGCTTTGTTGGGTATTCCTCCGATGCAAGGATCATTTGCTCTTAGTACAATACAAAACGGAACCCTGTTTGTTGGATATTACAACTTTTATTCCTCGTCTAGAGGACGAACCAGGACGGGACCGAACGGAAAGATGCAGTCAACACGCAGCATGCAGTCATTTACACACTTGTACACCATATCCAGCGAATCCAAGACTGTAGAATAGAGGTACTTACCTCTAGTAGGGGTAGCCTTCAACCCCGCCGTCGCCATAACAACATGATCAGCACCCAATGGGCGATCCATGGGTGCCTGGGCTTCGATGGCTTTTCACTCTGGCGGACCGAAAGACCCAATCCCATTTCCTTGTTGGAAAGCGAGATAACCCTCTATCGGTTGTGCATAGTCGCCGCTTTTAAAAGCCTGACAGCTCCCTCAGATTGTTCAATGTGAACTTTTCCTGAATTCCTCATCCCATCGATCATCCACCCACCCTCCGAGGACGTTGCTCGGGTAAAGGGGCAAGCAGACGGAATTCCGACACTCGACACCGGAAGACACCGCGGTTCAGCCCCACTTGTCTGACCGGCGGAGGGCTCGGACACGGCCACTTCGGGCACCACGCTCAGGTCAACCCGCCAGCAGCACAGACCCAGGGGCTGTTCACAGGGCAAGGAGCGCCACCATACTGGGGCACCGGAGTCAGGGCAGCTAGCGTTAAGGGAACCCACCCCTATTCTGGAACATCACCATCTTCGGACCCTGACTTTCGTTCAAAACGAACACCGCCCGCGGGGAGACTGTTCAAGACTGGATACCTACCTACCTTCTGCTGTTCCTCGCCCTTCAACATCCAACGAACATCTCTATCGTGAACTTGGACTTCCATGCTTACAGAGCCTGACGACCACCGTCTTTCCCCCATTTCCCATGGTAAAGAGGTACGTTAGTTGTAAGGAAACCATGTTCCTTAAAAAACACCCCTTTGTCCCATTCCCATCGCGGCATCGCCCCGCCATGCTCGCGTAACCGCAATTAAAAAAAGGGACCCGACCTCTCTGCAGCCTGCTCCTTATCGTTAGGTACCTTACGTACCTACCTACTAGAGGCGGGTACCTTCATAGCTTTGCACATGCTAGCCCAATGCCATTCCCTTCTTTCTGCCTACCTTAGTGGCTGCGCCCGCCAGCGTTTTATTTTGATTCGCCCTCGAGTCTGACCACCGTGCTCTTGCCAGATCTCTTAATTGCAGCCCACCGCAACTTGAACACGCGTCTCCTGTCCTCAAACCCATTCTTGCCTCACGCAACACCAACTTTGGCACTCGAAACGCCGTGCGACTCCCTACAACCTCAGCTACGCACTTAGTGCAATTCAACCCACTCTACACACAGTCACAATGTCGCGAATTCAGATCCCCATAGATGTCCTGACGTCTCGCCTCAACATGGGCGAGCGTTTCCAGAACTTCCGTTCAGGCTCGATTGCGAACCGCTTCTCGAACCTGCGCCCTCTCTCGGAGTTCTTCGATATCAAGCGCCTCTCCAAGCCCGAAAACTTCGCCGAGATGCAGTCCCGCGTCAACTATAACCTGGGCCACTTCTCCAGCAACTATGCTGTCGTGTTCGTGATGCTCTGCATCTACGCCTTGCTCACTAACCCTTGGCTGCTCTTTGACATCGTCTTCGTCGTTGCCGGCATGTGGTTCATTGGCAAGCTCGACGGCCGTGATCTTGAGATTGGCCAGCACCGCTTCACCACTTCGCAGCTGTACACGGGACTGTACGTCGTTGCGATCCCGATCGGTCTGTTCTCCTCGCCCTTCCTCACTGTCATGTGGTTGATTGGCGCCAGCGGCTTGGTCATCATTGGCCATGCTTCACTTATGGACAAGCCCATCGACGAGGCTTTTTCCGGGGAGGCGGTCTAAATGGTCGGCCGCGAGCTCCCAAATCTGCGCCCCAATGGGGAAGACCATCGAGGCGCGAGCGGGCGCGCAACGGGAGTGATGCTGAGGGTTGGTGGGGTTCTGGGCGTGTGGTGGAAGAACTGGACAGCGAGGACGGCGGCCCTCATACTACACAAGGCGTTGGGTCAGGGTTGGTTTCAAATCCTTTGGGTAATAGATTCGCTAGCGATTCCCTTCGGTTTACGGGTGTCGACATGGGCAATAAAGGGGGTGGTAGTGCGAGGTTACGCGGAAGACATATCTATGGGGCGGACACAACAGATGATGATTCGGGGGACTCGGCGAGCGACGAGGAGGACAATGTCCATCTCGAGTCTGCCCTGGCACGGATTCGCCGGGCTCAAGCAAAGGGCAAGGCCGACGTCAAGCTGACAAAGGACGAACTGGCAGCTCTCGAACGGTATCAACGACGTCAGAACGGCGAAGAGCGTAGGAAAAAGGAAAAGCGGATCGCGGTGCCGCTAGGTGCTCTTGGCCAGATAGAGGTGCCTCGGAGCAATTCTCGTGGGGAACCTTCGCGAACCCCGCGGGAACAGTCACCGGTTCCTCCATCACGTCTTCCCAGCGGGTCGTCAACTACTGCTGAAAGGGAACAGAGTTCTTCGCCTTTTCATTATTCATATGTCAAAGACCAACCCGGTCCCATTCGGCGTTCTCGCGATTCTCCTCCCCACGGCGATATCTCTCCTGGAGCATCAGGCAGTTCTCCCCACCACGATATCTCGCGGCAAGCTTCAACCGGAAGCGGAGTCGATCCCTTCCAGTACTTGCATCCCGGCGGTACCACTCGTCCCACGTACACAGGCGACCACAGGAGTCGGACAACAACATCAGACAGACACCGGACTACCAGCGATCTGAGCCCGGGCGACTATTCGGCGGGGGAGGAAGACAGGCACCGGCATTCATCACGGATCAGCAGTTCCGCCGGGAGGAGCACCAACCATTATGACCGATCGGAGCGTGCGCGAGTTGCAGAGGAGCAATCCCTACACGATATTTCCTCTTCATCTAGGAGGACGTCTGGTGACCCACCTTCAATTGTCAAGCGGAAGGAGATGTTGACTGGTAGTTCTTCCAAGTCGTCAAACTCTTCCAAGCGCAGAAGTCGTGGTTAAAATGGCTACTTCTTTACTTGGGACCTCTGCTTTTGAAATCGGTTGCACTTGGGCAGGGTAAAAGAAAAAGAAAAAGAAACAGGAAACTGACTGGCTAGATGTCTTGTGTGTGTGTTGCGTTGACAGATATAGTAGTTTATGGTTCTTAATATTTATTTCCCCATCAAATCAATTTCTTCCATCGCTTGTGAAATTTTGTGATGCTTCTTTTCGATCAGATTCATATGTAATATGGTGCAGAGGACTTAATATTGCTCCGTAACCAGCTGAGAACCGCCGAGGGCCACCACAAACCAAGTTCCAAGCAAGAAAGTAAGTATAGATGCCGCATACCATCCATGTCTCGTACCTCATGTACCACATACAACATATCCCCCCGGAAATCGTGTCCGCCCGGCTCGTGGAACGCCAAAAACACCCAAATATCCAGACATGTCCACCCTTGTCCTTGTCAGTCAGTCAGCCTTCCTCCATCCTATTCCGATAACATCTTCAAAACACTCCTCAACCCTTCCTGCCAACTCAACCCCGGTCCTCCAGACCCATTGAACACCCCATCTCTCTCCATCGTCCTCTTCTCCCACACCGACCCGTCTCCTCTCCGACCTCTTTCAACTTGAGTCGTGTTAAACCCTCTTGCTAATGCATCCCCCATCATTGCCGCTGCCGCCCCTGCGCCACCACCACTCCTACTACTACCACCGGCGCCGCCGGAACCACCACCAAGACCAATCCCATCCCTCGCCAACCTCGCCACTTCCCCTACGGCACCCAGCGAGTCGCCAGCAGAGTACTTGGCCGCTAGCGCCAGCAGTCTGTCAACGATTTTGGGGAGGCGGATGCCCAGTTTAGCGAGCAAACCCGTCAGGGCGCCGCCGGTGATGAGCGGCATGATGGCCAGCATAAAGACTTTCATCGGGTGTCGCTGGGCGTAGTAGGCCAGGTCGCGGAGGAGACGCTTGAGTTTCTTCAGGAGCTTTTTGATGAGGCGAGGGCGGGGAGAACGTTTGTAAAAGGAGGAGGAAGAGGAGGATGATCGGCCTAGAGAGGGTGAGGGTTAGGGACTGATACTGGACAAAAGGAAGGAAGGGGGGAGAAGGTAGAACGTACGGAATTTGGCAAAAAAAGAACTTCGCCTGCCTGATGAGGAAAAGGATTTAAAGAACGATGGCCGTTTGGGAGGCTTTTCCGGTCTGCCACCGTGACTGCTGCGCGGGGTACCACCACCGGCGCCGCCGAGAGGGTCAATCAGTCGGCTGCTGGTCCTTCGAGAAAGGGAAAAGTAGTCGCGTGGAGGTGCATCGTCGCCGTACATGTCTGAATTGACATATCCATGCCCGCCACGGGACTTGGGAGTCTTGGGAGATGAGCGCCGCGGGTTGTCAGAGTCGGAGTCGCTTCCGTAGCCCATGCCGTCAAGGTCGTCGTCGTCGCCGAGGAGGAGAGAGGCTAAGAAGCCGACCAGACCTCCTGTCCCTCCTTCTGCTCCTTCCTTCCCGTCAGGTCCTCCTCTCGGTACTGCTGCCCTTTCATCCGCTCTATAACTCTCCCTGCTGTACATTTCCTGCCTCCGTCTTTTCCCGCTGCTGTCACTGGCATCTGGAGGAGAAAAGGGGGCCTTTGGTGGTGGTGGTGGTGGCCGCTCCCGCTCCCGTTCACGATCCCTCTCCCGTTCTTGTTGACGTTCTAGTTCCCGCTCTCGTTCCCTGAATTCCCGTTCTCGTTCTCTCTCTCGTGTCTTGAGCTCCCGGTCTCGTTCCTTGGGTTCGATTTGTTCCCTACTTTGCCTGGAGGATGAGGACCGATGCGAAGGCTTTGGCCTTTTCGACTTTGATGAACGACTGGAGAACATGAAACCCTCGCCGAGGAAACCCATGTTGGCGGTTTGGGTTGGGTTTATTTAGATGTATGTATATGTGGAACGATTTTTCTTGAGCGGACAGAATTGCACTGCCCTTTGATGTCAGATTGTGAATACGAAAGCGTTGGTCGCGTTTGGTCTTCTTCAAGCCGGTTGCTGGTAAAGGATTTGATGGTTCGAGAAAAAGATAGGATTGCTTCCACGCAGGTCCGGGCCGTTTAGGTTACTGGAAGTGGAGGAGGATCGGACCCTCTCCGACCAACAGGAGCGGCTTGACGCGTCTAGGGAAGGTAGGGAACAATGTTGGGAGCTGAGTTTCACCTTTCAGGAGCGGAAATCTGCACGGTGATTGACAGCTAACACAGACATATGTATCTGCTTCTTGAATTGCTGCCGTGGCACGTCTGGAACTCGTCGTCACCACACTTCAAGACTCGATCTTGTGCATGTATAAGTGAACGGTAGGATAGGGTAATGAAACACGGCGAGATTGGAGAGGGGATTGGTTCTCGAAACCTGTCATGCCTTTGACCAGCCCAAACAACAGTCCGACAGTCCAAAGTAGGTAGCCCTATCTCCAGCGGCGTACTTGATTCAACCTTTCTCACAGTCGTCTCTCACCGCTGAAAATTCATGAGGCTGGGGGCTCGTTGAGGTCTGCGACTGGACGCCAGAACTTGAGACTGGACTTGAACCGCAGGACCGTCTACCCCTAAAATTGTGACCCTTGTCACAGTTGGAATCTCGGGCTCGGCACCCATGGCACCAACAGCCCTGGCAGAATGATTGCCTAATATTGGATAGAAATCGGTGAGTGGGGATTAGTGGTCACAACGAAGCGGGGGAGCCAGGGACGACCTTTTGGAGAAGCAAGCCATGGACTTTATCGTGGATGAGGAGGTTGTTGTTGTTATTGTAAGACTTGAGAAAGTAAGTCCGTCATGGACTGAGGGTTTGGTACATTATTGTTATCTGGCCGAAACTAAGACGATCAGAGCGTGATAATGAATTGTGAAGGTCAAGGCAGTATGTGAGATCACGGCTTTTATTTGCTGTGTCGCAAACTCTCGAAATGACAAAATCGGAAGAACCAACTTACAGCTGAGCTCGCCTATGATGAGCGATGTCGACGAACTGAACTTCCCCTTGCTGCAAACGGTGGGGTGGTTGGTACCTGATAAGCCACACGTGGCACGGGTACAAACCGTAGAGGTAGAGAGGTACCTAGTACCTGGGCTACCTCTACCTACCCGCCGTGACGCTTTATTTCGCCGACGGACTTCCTTTCACTTGCACTCACGGCCTCCAGCTTGCAGAAAGTTCCATCGTTTCGTAATTTCCTAGCATCATATTGCTGCGATAGGTGTTATCATGTAACGTTGATAAATACATAGGTATACAGAGCCGACAGCAAATGCACATTTTGCGTAGGTACGACTTAACCATGTATGACTCCATCACCCACTGCAACAGGTCCTGCCTTGCAGGGGTAGGATGAAAGCGCGGGGCAATGGACCTTGGGCTTCGAACTTGTCTGAAAGCTTCCACTTTCTGTGTTGTCATCGCTTGGCTTCCACTCTCAATAATTCTTGCAACTTGCAACCCTGCGATCACAAACCCCCGTCATTCTATCCTTTCGCCATTTTCTAGAGTATTGATCAGGATGGTGTCACCTGCAGTTGAAGTTAAGAGCCCAGCGGAATGGAGTTCCCTACTGGATGCCACGAAAATCGTTGTGGCACAATGTAAGTTCTACTCCTACGCCAGTCGTTCGAGAAAGCGATCCCCATGAATCGCATGCCCTGGTGATATACAACTTCGCCGCTGCTCACCATGTCATCACTTTCAACGTCTGGATACGGAAGCGTGGAGGCGCCTTTTCGCCATGCATTCGCGTTTCTTTCACGCACCCATCTCTCCCTGGCGGTGCGCGGTTCGTCAAGAACAGCTTGTTAACATAGTTTTCTCCAGTTTACTCGCCTAGTAACACGGCCTCACTGGAAGCGATCCACATTCTCGAACACCACTCTCAAGGCATCGAAGGACGCGGCACGGTCTTAGAGCTCGCAAAGGTCAACGTGGACGAGTTGAAGGCGATTAAGAATGCCTACAGCATCACGACCCTCCCGACGACTATGCTCTTCCAGAACGGCAAGGAAATCGACAAGGTTGCTGGTGACAATCCTAGGAGGCTAGCGCAACTGGTTGAAAAACTCAAACGCGCAGTTGACTCGGCAAAGACTGAACAGGCAAGCGGGAGCTCCAGCAGCTGGAAGGGTGCCGCACTTCCCCGCGGGTACGTGGATGTCACCGATCAGGTTGAGCTCAACCGGTCTGAGCTTTTGAATGTCGACACAGAGACCGGTGGCGTCCGAGTGCTTTTTTCGACCGAAAAGCCAAGTGCCTTGTCTGGAGGCAAAGGTACCGCGAAGGATTGGGTTGAAAGTGACACCGACGACCAACTGCTGCTTTTCATGCCCTTTCAGTCTATGCTCAAATTGCATACTCTCCAGGTTGGTCCCGCAAAAGGTTCGAGTAGATGACGGACAACGCAACTGACATGACCTCAACAGATTACCTCCTTGCCTCCCACTGATGACGACGACGACGAATTGCCCACGAGGCCGAAGACGATCAAGCTTTTTGTTAACAAGCCACACAATCTCGGGTTTGACGAGGCAGAAGATCTTCAAGCCACGCAAGATATCGAGCTGTCAGAGAGTGACTGGAACAAGGAAGGAACTGCTAGCGTTCCTCTGCGTTACGTCCGGTTCCAGAACATCAACAGCTTGGTTTTGTTTGTTGCTAATGGGGACGGGGATAGCGAGAAGGTCAGGATTGATAGGCTGAGGCTCATTGGAGAGTCAGGAGCAACCAGGGATATGGGCAAACTGGAGAAGATCGGTGATCTCCCGGGCGAGTAGAAGAGGAAGAGGAGTGTTGGTGTCGAGCTTCAGGCATTGCGCATTCAGATACCACTAATATCAGGCAGCAGGCGTTTTGATGGTGCCATAGGGAGCAAAGGTGCGCATTGCAAACCAACCAATCCCCATATCCAAAGTATGAGTGCGTTCTTGAGAGATCTATACATTATCAAGATGCTAGAGGCAGTCTTGCAGCTGGTCCTTGTACGCACAGCACCACGACCGAAGGGACGGGTATTCAAACATCACGTCGGTGAAGGATATGTGTAAATTTACACAGTCGCGTTGATTACATCCTGCGATTGTAGCCCTTATGACGAATAGTCAATGCGGTGATACTAGTCCAGTCGCAGAGCTGGTCTCAAGACAATGCTCGCAGTCACCAAAGCGACCTCTAAACCAGTTACGCACAACAGTCAAAGAAAGTAGCCCCAGATAAAATGTCCGATCTCTTCATCACCATCCAGCCCTAAGGGGTTGTTTCTCGATGGACTGACTGACGAGGAAATCGGCCTGCAATATGATTTATCTAGGCCACGACTGACGCGACGTTTTCACGGAATCTCCGGAAGGAGATGAAAACGAAGCAACACGGGTAATGTTTTGAATGAGTCGTGACCGCCGCACGAAGGAAAAAAAAGAGAAAAAGAGGAGGAAAGGGAATTTTGGCTCGAGGTCAATAAATTGAGAAAATTTAGTGGAGCATCTGAAACAGCTTAGTCACCCTGGCAGACCCACAATTTCGAGTTTTGAGGTGGGCTCAGCATGTCGAGCCCCGAGGTACTATTGGCAGCTGGCAGAGCATTTGGCACCTTTTCTGTCGTAGCGCCGACGTCGTAGCGTTCTGCGGTCAGCCAATGTCACCAGCTCAAGTCGACGGGACTTTCTAGTGTAGTGTTATCCTGGCAGAGGTGTAGAATCCCGCTTGACGCCGTTCCACGGTTCCAGACTCTCAGCACGAATCGACCACACGCTGTCAGCGCCGCTTCCAACCACACTACCTAGAGGTACCTACTTTCAACACTGAAGCTTCGGTTGCTGCAATATGCTGGCGGGAATCGGTTTCCTGGTGATGGTTCCTGTCTTGTGTGACCCCTTCCTCGACCTCGAGTCCTTGGTTCTTCACAGCCAGGCAAGCCTGACCAAGCAGAAACTGAAATCTCGATTGCTCCCATATGGGATTGTAGTGTGTTACAGCGCAAAACGACGGGCCACATTATCTCGGTTTCCATTACCCTTCTCCTCGCCTAGTGTCTTTGAAACTCTTCACATGGGGCTTTTCTCCGTAGAGAATGGCATGATTGCGCTCAACCATTCCAGCCTAACTTGTGTGGACGATGTGTTTGTTCGGCCCAGCATAACATCGTCTCTCGGCTAACACATATTGTCGCCCACGCCGGAGCCTCCAGGTTGCCGGTTTATATGAGCAAAGATTATGCGAGACAAGCATGCGAGGATCCATGGGCGTGCCAGCGTTTGGCCACCGTATAACCGTAATGACTGATCGTCGTCTTCCCCATCGACTCGTGTGCGTGGGGTGTGCGGTCTTTCAACAAAAGTCTCGAGTCTGACAGACTGTCGTCGCGGAACTCAAGCCAGCTACGAGCTGACCCATGGATCCTGGTGTTCCCCTTCGGATGTCCTACCAATCCATAACAATGTCCATACGGTATTGGATATTGCCTACAGCGCAGAGCAAAAGAGGCGTTCATATCGGAATTGACGCATGCTATACGATATTTCGAATACACACTGGCATATCCGCCGCAACTAGTTCCTACGCCTCGTCGGTTTTTACTCAATCAGACACTCCAGTCCGAAATCAGCACTAACAACTGTGCAAGCTGTCATCCTTTCGGCTAGGTTCTGTAACTTGGTTTTTTTTTTTTTTTTTTTTTTTTTTTTTTTTTTTTTTTTTTTTTCTCCAGAAAGTTTAGTATGGATGTCTACTTTGAAGTCATCCGAAACCTGCGCGCAATGACAAGGTAAAAGTCAGTTGCTAGACTAGTGAGCTACAAGCTCTAGCAGCCAACTTGAGGTAAACCCCCGCTTCCCTCTACCTACGTCGTCTCATCGATACACTACGCAGGCATCCGGTCCAGCCGCTTGACCCCTACCCCTCGGTTCCAAGACTATCGCGTAAACTGCAACTCTGTTTCGACGGCACGTCACCATGGCCCCAAGATCGGTAAGCCTGGATACTACAATCTAACGCTGGTTTGTTTGCTGGCTTGGTATTCCAAGTCTACCATATCGGACGAAATCCAAACCGCTTTGTCCCAAACGAAGCTTACCAGGATAAAATCAAAGGTCAGGTACAGCTGGGATAGCCATCAACACAAAGATCCAATATGACACTTTCAAATTTCAGAAATACCATGTTCAAAGCTAGTTTACGCTTTGGTCGTGAAATGAAACGGACTGACCAGACATGACAAGTCCTTGGGAAGCTGGCTCGGGGGTCTCGAGCTAACAAACAAACCAGTATGTATTGGACTGTAATGAATCGAAACGCTACAGGCATAAAAGGTGGTCCCTATATGCTAAGAATAGCTCATACCAGTCCCTAGTCATGTATCATCCGTCTGCTTGTTCACTACCAACCAACCCAGTACTTCTTCTGAATCGACTTACCCTTACAGGCAAGTTCGCAATCACCTGTCTGCCACCACGCTGTCGACAAAGGACCCCTCCAGTCCGGGTAACCATTTCATGCCGTTTCTAGGTCATTGGGATCCGTCCAAACGGCAGCAGTTTTCGATCCCAATGGCCAAAGGGATGGATATCGTGGTTCCCGCTCTGATTCAAGGTATGACATGAACATGACAAACCTCGACAGTGCCAAGCGGCAACCGGTGGTTGCCAGACGATTCTTGAATCACCATCCATCATCTTGGTGCCTGTTCCAGGTAGTCCACGGCCAGTCTAGTTGTGGAGCATCCTCCTTGCGGAACGTCTCGCCTCTCCATCCTAGACTAGTGTGCTTGCTCCAGTCAAGGGCACGCCTTGCCGTGTAGAGCAACTCGCATAGCCAGGTCTCCTGGCGTTGGGCAAGTCCTAGCTCTTCCTTATTCCTGACAATTTCCTAAACCGTTCGCGCACTTGGGTGTTGACTTACATATTACCTGGCACGCCTGGTCAGCTTTAAATTGTCTCAAGACTAACGGTCGGTTCGTCCCTGAAAATGCCTTGTCCAGTGACGGAGCTGAAGCGCACAGGTATGGGGCAAGCCCCGACCTCGATCACATGTATCTGATCCTTCAACGCATCTTGACACTTGTATCGACTTTCTCTTTCCTTCAAGCCACTTAACCGTATCAAGATTAGATGACGTGATGCAAAGCCCTTAGTTACGCCTTGTGACCTTCTTGATTCGTTATTCTTAAGACTAGTCATTGACTAAGAGGTATAAGAGTTCCACGTCTTTGATATCTTATTGTGGTGAACTCCCCTCGCTATCTACGGCCACGTTGTCGTGGCCAGTTCGTCCGCCAGTAAATAAGTGGTGGTACAGACATGACCGGAACACATCAAAACGGCTTATAAAATTCGTCCGCTTCTCGAGTTACTCGTTCATCTCGAGTGTCACTTCAAATCCCTGCGGTGGAAGATCGTAGGGGCCGTGACCAAGCGATATCTGTCTAGGAGGAGCGGCAACACTATCACCATTTCGCAAGGACGAATGCATTACGACAAATCCTGTGGATTCTGTTCATCTTTCAAGGCTGTGGCAAATCGGCACCGACATATCAGCACGATACGGGTAAACACAATTCACAATGCACTATAATCATTACGGCATCCATCAATGCTGCCCAGTCAACTCGGTGGATAAGTTCACCAACTTCCAGCGGCTACCGGCCGAGCTGCGAAACATTATATGGGAGTTCTCTTTGCCAGAACCACGGGTTTATGAAATTTTGGACGCACCGAACTCGAAGCGAAAGACCCCTCCCCATGAAGGTTTGATGTTTGCCAACATCCATCCAGAACCTCCGCCAGCCTTAGCAGCTGTGTGTCATGAGAGTCGATCTTTGGTTCTTCACAACTACAAGCCTCTAACATTGGGGAGGACAACCAAATATGTCAACCTGTCTCGAGACATTTTCCTTCTTGAGCCGTACCTACTCATCAAGCGGCTTCACCGTACTCTCCATTTTATGAGCCAAATTTCGTTCCTTCGAGACAACATCAACCGCCTCGCGCTCGGAACATCCTATGGCATCTACACGGGGATTTGCCATCCAGTGCTGAGCTGGAAGGTATCCAAGACCAACATGGGAAAGTTGCTTACCAACCTTGCGAAGTTTCCACGGCTCAAGGTTCTCATTTTCATCGTTCACCAGGAGTTCCAATTCGAGTTTGACTTCCGATTCCCCGGCACCATGATCCCTATCCCGAACTATCCGCTTCAACACTCCGTTTCGACCACTCTGCAACCTCTCTTCACGAGCGGGCCCAGCGCCACTGGATTTCCATCTCCCATCAGTAGCGTTGGTAGCAGCATTATTTTACCGTCAAGGTCATCATCAAGCAATCCTATCCCGACGCTCGCAGAACCAGCCAGCAATGGTCTCCATTTTTATTCCACCGTCAGCAATAGCAGCAGCAATAAGAACACCATCGCAACCCCCGGGAACCTTTATAAACTACCGTACTCATCACCGTTATTATTCCCGTCTCTCCCGCCGCTACTGCCACCGTATCCTTTATTCTCTCCACAGGATTCCTACTTGGCACCACAGCTTCCCCCCTTCCCTTTACTCCTCCAACAACAACAGCAACACCAACACCAACAGCCTCAACCGTCCCAACCACAACGGCCCCAACTAGTCCACCAAGCCTACCGCTTCAAATTCGACATCGAAGCGAATATCAACCACGCCCCTCGACGCCCGCACCTTAACGAGCTGCTTTATTACCCGCTCGACATAGACAAAGAGGATGACGGTGATGGGGAGAATTTCGATTACTATAACTTTAGCGGGGGCGGTAACGGCGGGAGCAGCAACAGCAACGGCAATTCAGGATGGACAAACAACGATCACGACGACGACGACGATGACGACCAAGATGTAAGGGGGGATGTCAACAGAGTAGGAGGAGGAAGAGGAGGAGAAAGAGGAGATAGGGGAGGCGGAAGTGGAGGCGAGTGGTCCGATCCCTGGCCGACCAACGACGATTGGCGACGATTCCGACAACGGTTCCAAAAGGCGATTAGGCAGAGTTTAGAGGTTATGGAGAGACATAGACTTGCCTGCTTGGCTGCAGCAGAAGCTGCCAAGGTAGCGGATGGAGGTGAAAAACATTCTGCCAAAGGTGGAAAAGAAAGTAGCGCTAGCGGACGGAGGAAAAAAACTGGGAAAGGGACGACGACGACCACCACCACCAAAGCCGCAGAGAAGAATAGCTGGAGCGGCCGTGCTAGTAGGGAGGCGGAATGGGAGTGGGAGAGGCAGTGGGAAAGGGAAAGGGAGTCGTTGCGTGCAGGATTGGAAGGAAGGATAGGAAAGCATGCCACTAGGATTCGAGTACCAGCTATCAAGGGGGCGAGTTTGCTTTGGAGGTATACAAGGGGCGGGTATGTGTGACTGTTGTTACCATTGTTGTGACTGTTGTATTGTATAACGTGGAAGAGGGCAAGGGAGATGAGGGTGGTGATGGCCGTTGAAGTGTTGAAATGACGAGATCTCTTGAGTCACAGCATTTGCTAGTTTTGTCAACGGGGGTGTATTTCAGACTTGGGTTTCCATTTACTATACCAAAAATAGAGGATGGGCAATATGTTTAGGCGAACTTGACAGGCTCTATTCAAGTGAGGAATGATTGTGCATGAAATGGTAGATGTACCCTGTGAGACAGCTGATTCCAAGCGGCTGGTCACTTATCTATCGTTTTGCACCGACTTGTTTCTTCTTTATATTGTTATTGTCATCATTCCTATTACCTATCTTTGTTATTCAGGAGCTGAAGCTTTGCTGGTTGATCATCCAAACGTACCTAGCCATACGTACAGATCAAGTTTCTTGTTAGGTACTTTGTTGGCTCACCTGAAGATCACCGAGCTCACTGAAAGCACATGCGAAATTACTTCCCCTCTCCATCTTCACCTAGCTGATGAACTGAAGTTGAACACTCCCACGGAGAAACCTATATTTATCCTTTGAGGTACTAGGGGATTGCGGCTACTTTCTTTGGGTATCTCTGCCGGTAAAATATGATATAATCTCTACTTGTTTAGCTCGAGACAGTCCCGCGGGGAGATCCGACACGGGATGATGACACTGGACGGTATTGACCGGAAGCAGCAGATAAGCGAGAGAAGACCGAGAGCCTGGAAGCAAGTCTTCAGAGGCAAAAAGTCTCAGCTGGACTCTGTGGTGGTGACTATGATACTTGTCGTAATACCAGCGCTGGATTTTAAGTAAGGTGTTGTCTGTTGAAACTTCTTAGTAGTGAATGGATGCACTCCGCTGCACCAACGACCCTGCCTACTCTGAACTTTCGCTGATAACCCTCAAATGACCAGAAACGAGGCGTATGTCCACCTCAGCGCCCCCGAAGATTCCAAAGATCTAAATACATAAAAGCGAGACGTCAATGCCCAGTAAGTGATGAGAAAGTGGTGCAAGTTGGTTGCTTGCATGGAATTTTCCAAATTCGGCAAATGTTTGCATCATAGTCCATATCGATTCTCGCATTTTGATATAACAATGTTGCACGGCTTCTAGGTAGCAGCTTATACATTATACAATGCAAGGAGGATGGCCAGATTTCAGGGTCAAAAAATATAAATGATGGGGCAACAAACTGTCGGCGAAGACATGCTCTCTGGGCTCATCTTCACACAAAACCCAAACCCCGCTTAACCCCGAACCCTGAAATTCGAGGTTCTACATATGTAGCCCCAAAGACCCAGCTCCCCTTTCGAATGACCAATGAAATCATGTTCTGTAAACAAAAGCTGGGCGTATGACAGTTGGTGGCAACTGTCAAAGGTACCTCGACAGCTCGAGACTTGCGCTTAGTATTGTTCACACCTCGACTGGTGCTGCTTACCTAGTCGGAAAGTCGGTTCATTGTATCGCGACTGTTTCTTGTCAAGTGTCGTCAGTCATTACCATAATGCTTTCAATCGCGGTATTCTCTGCCTATCATCTTTTCTCTTCACCGGTCATCTGCAATCATTTCCCTCGATCTTGAGGACTGAGAGGGACCACGTTCGAGTGTTTTCCTCAAAGCCAAGACACCGGTAGTCCATCTCGCTTTCACATCTCGGACATCCTACCCGGATTACTTACGCTTCCCCTCAAGATGCCTCCCAACGCGCCCGCGCGGGGTTCTGACAGTTGTGGTAGCCTGAACAGACCACCCAGAACTCGGAGACTATCAGTAGAGCAAGCCAGCGAGAGCACGCCGTTGTTGGCTGCTGGAGACATCGCCCCAACCGCCGACTCCGAAATTTCCGAGGCTACTACGCTTATAAACGAGCCATCGAGTAGCAGTGAAGTCGACCCAGACGATAAGCCTCTCCCCGTGGCTCAAATTGTTGTTTTATGCTACGCTCGATGGATCGAGCCCGTGGCCTTCTTCTCCATCTTCCCGTACATCAACAAGATGGCGCAAGAGAACGGCAACCTGGCAGACGCCGACGTCGGTTTCTATAGCGGCCTGATAGAGTCTTTGTTTTCCTTAACGCAGATGGCCGTCATGATCTTGTGGGGAAAGGCCGCGGATCGGTTTGGGAGGAAGCCGGTGCTGGTGATTTCTCTGATGGGTGTCACTCTTGCGACAGCCATGTTTGGCATGGCCAAGACCATTTCGCAGATGATCTTGTTTCGTTGTCTGGCGGGTGTCTTTGCGGGGACTATTGTGACCATTCGGACCATGATTTCGGAGCACAGCACCACCAAAACACAGGCACGCGCATTCAGTTGGTTTGCCTTTACCGGAAACCTGGGGATTCTTTTTGGTCCGCTCATAGGGGGCGCGTTGGCGGATCCTGCTGAACAGTACCCGGGGCTCTTTGGAAACATACAGTTCTTCAAAGACTATCCTTATGCATTGCCTAGTTTTGCTGTGGGCGGCATCGGCGTTACTGCGGTATTGGTTACTGCTTTCCTTGCTGAGGAGACACTCGAGAACAAAGTATTTGGCGGCGGCCGCGATGCTGAGTCTGGTGCGCCGGCCAAACCTGCGCCCATGACTACTTGGGATCTTCTGAAGTCGCCAGGTGTACCCATTGTTCTCTACACATATGGCCATATCATGTTGCTCGCGTATTCGTTTACCGCGATCTTGCCCGTCTTTTGGTTCACACGCATTGACCTCGGCGGCCTTGGGTTCACGCCTTTGCAGATCTCACTCCTGATGGGTCTCAACGGCCTGGCACAGGCGATTTGGATCCTGCTCGTCTTTCCTCCCCTACAGCACCGCATTGGCACCAATGGCGTCCTGCGAGTGTGCGCAATCGCGTATCCGTTCTTCTTTGCCATATGCCCCTTCTTCAGCCTCCTCTTGCGAAACGGTGGCTCGACGGGTGAGACCATCTTCTGGTTCATTATGCCGGCTCTGTTGTGTCTCGGATGCGGCGTTAGCATGTCCTTCACAGCTATCCAGCTCGCCCTGAACGATACCTCGCCCAGCCCTGTAACTCTCGGGACGCTAAACGCGTTGGCTCTATCGTTGGTCAGTGGCGTGCGATCCTTCTCGCCGGCGTTGTTCGCTAGTCTCTTCGCTATCAGCGTTCGTACGCAGTGGCTGTGGGGTTATGCTATCTGGGTCTTGATGGTGCTGCTGGCGTTGGGATACACTGTTATCAGCAGATATATGCCGGATCCTGATGAGCTGAGGAGGCAAAGAGAGAGACGGGATCTGGATGAGGATGGTTTGTTAAGCGTTGGAGGCTTGACCGGAGTCACGATAGCTGGTGCAGAGGCTCATACTGAATAAAGACATTATGTTGCTTCTCCAAATCCAACCAAGGATAATCACGGGTCAGAAGGCAAGGAAGGAAAGCTTGAAGTGTTGTAAACCTTGAATTCCCCTATGGACATGTGAAAATAAATCAGGTTGTGAGCACATTTACACAATCGTTCTAGACTTTTAAAGCGCCTGGTTTCTCAACACCTCAGTATCATCGTGGCATACCGAAAAGTCTCATTCAGGTTGATCTATCCCCACGCTAATCAACCAATCGCATCCGGAGCCTTAAGGACCTACACTCAACGCCCAGAAAATCACATGAATAGCCAAACTAGCGTCGAGATCATGAATACTGTATGGTGAATCTTTTAGCGGTAGCATCGGTTGCAGTGAGGTCAGGGGCATACTGACTGTGCAGATTCTTCGTGCATTTACTGTGGACGCACCGCGGGCGATCACGTCACAGGGGTCCGTCTTGCAGTGCAGTGGTATTGGGCAGTACTTAGTGTATGAACCAAGCGCCCAATCTAACATAGTGTAGAGGCAGTGTAGCCGGCTGTCCGACGTCATAGTTCCCCTCTCCAACTAAGCCATCCCACCATCAGCATCCAGTTCATCCAGTCTAATGTCTCACCCGATTCGCAAAACGCGTAGGTTGTAGGTAGCGTGCAGTCGAGAACCCGATGGATTATACGAGAACCTCTGGCAGGGCTGGACTCACCCTCACCATGGAGCATGGACCGAGTTATTATCTCGGGCCCTTCTCGCTTCCTTTTTCTTGAGCTTGCTCTCGACGCACAACACTACTAGTATACAAACACGGCCCTCTCTTACCAATTCCAGAGATTAGTGAAGACTACGACGAGAGACCATTTCAAACTTGGCGAGGTATTCAACATTAAGCCGATAGATCTGTCACCAGTACGTTCGTTTCAATTACCTTGTCTGTCACAAGAACATTGACACCAACACATTTGCCAGTGTACGCCGACAAAGTACACCGTCACAGAAAACGTCTCTATCTAGAGCCTCCTGTCAATGGCTCCACGATCGTCCGGAGGAAAGTCACCACGATCGTTCCTGCGTCTGAGCAGCAAGCGGCAGTTATCGAAAAACCGGCTAAACCGGCTCATTCGCCCCCGGTGCATGTGCTCGAGCCCGCACCGCCGCCATCACCGCCGATGTTCTGCCCAGACCCTCATTCACCAGTCGCAAATGTTCCAACTCACCCGGGACCACCTCACCACGCCCCTCCCGTCTACGCTCCGATGCCCGCCCATCCTCATCACAATCATGAAGATCACAACCGCGAACATCACAACCTCAAACATCATGTCCATGAACATACCCGACGGGAGACAGAAATAGACGTTGGACGCACATACACTCACACAAACACACCTCCGCCACGGGTACCGGTTCTAAACGACGACGTGCACGCCGACATCATAGACGTCATCGCCGTCGACGTCGAAGAGAAGAAAAAGAAAAAGAAAAAGAGGTCTAAATCGCGGCACGCTGAACGCAGCCGCAGCCGCAGCCGCAGCCGAGAACGCGAAGTCGTCATCGAGCGAGAGGTGCGGGTTCCCGTACCCGTTCCCGTGCGCGTGCCCGTCCCAGTGCCAGTACCGGTGAGGGAGGAGCTGGAGACGTATCGGTACGTAGAGGGCCCCAAGCAGCCGAAGAGGCACTCCGAATCACTACCTCCGAGAAGGATGAGGAGCCCGCCGCCACCAAGACTGCCTTACCCGTGGGAGCAGGACAGGGACATATGCTCAGCGAGGTCGAAGTCGGCAGTCAGACATAGGAGTCCGTCGACGACGAGCTTAGAAAGGGAGATGGATAGGATTAATATCACGATTGAGGAGAGGAGGAAGGCGACGTTCGACAGGGACAGGGACAGGGATAGGAGCTGGGAGAGAGGGTCGTACTACCGCTGATGGTGCGGGGCTATTCAATGGCGTTCTTGCTGCCCTTTGCACTCTTTCATTTCTGTTGCTTCTTTGTTTGGGATGGTGCTTGGAGCTTGGAGTTTGCTACCTCTACCTTTGGGTTGAGGTGATTGGAGAAATGAATTAGCGAGGGCGCCACTTTCACGATGGTTTGATGAATTTATGTTGCGCAGCGATATCCATGTAGTGTAGCTAAGTTGATGATGTTGATGATCACGATATATATGACCATGACATTCTTCATTTACTGCAGGTTGAAGTGTTGGTACGTCAACATGCCAATACCTGACAGTTCCTTCTGTACAGTTAGTTTATAAGGAGTCTTTCATCCCTTCTCGGTTGTCACACATAAAAGAGCGCCTTCCTATCCCCCCACGTGTAGCTTAACTTCTTCCACTGCTTCATTTTTCAGCTCTTCCTACCTCTACTTTCGTCAGATCTTTTGGTGCGTCCGCGCTCAATCTACCTGTTGTGACAAGTAAATGGCCTGGTCATACTTCTTAGCTCGGTGATCATATACTTACTCACTGCTTAGCTCTTAGAAGACCTCTGTGTTCTTTCTCTAAACACCCACATACAATACACAACACATGCTTCGATTATAGTCTACATCATCTTATTTCGTCGGGACTTGAGAGGATGAAAAGATGGTGGTCAAATCGCGGTTCGGCGGGCTTGCATTTCATTATGGTGATTTGATAGTCAACTTCTACATCTGGTCTAGCGCCAAAGCACATGTTCTGTGAGTGGTTACCAATTATCAAAACCAAGCTTTTTTCCTTTCTTTTTTTTATTTCTTTTTCGTTTCTTTTTCTATTTCCTTCTATCTTTTTACATTTCCTCTCCTCCTCCCTTACTTCTTTTACATAGGCTGATGCCCCCTTTTTGCGCTCGGATTTGACCAACACCAATGATTTGAAAGAGAGTTGGTTATAAGGCAAAGAATCTAGTAGGTTTTCACAGTGGATTCCCTTGACAACGCCGCTGTATACCTAAATCTCTTTACACCATGGCTACGCACCAATTGATATTTCACTGTTAGATGGGCACCAAATTTAGGATCTTGTATTCAGCAGTGTCTTTCGTTTCTTCTTCAATCAGGAAAAAACATCAATCGCCTATCATTCCTTGTTTAAAAGACCAAAGACCGGAGACCGGAAACCGGATATTAAACGCACGTGCCTCGCACTTAAGCAGCCTTTAATTTGGGAACCATCCATTTGTTTCGGGAGGGTTGGTTGGACCACCGTACGGAAGACCCTGATCCTCGAATCTCCTCGTATTCATACTGTTTGGCATTGTGTGTTGTTTCTCGTTTGTTTGCAAAAGAGAGACACCAAAAAGGAAAACCATGGGACCCTTCCTCGCAGCCGCCCCCCCACTCTCCCTCCTGTTGCAGTTGAACACCAGAAACAAATGCTTTTACTTCCTTCTTGCTTTCTCTGACCTTCCTCTCCACTTCCCGGACCGCGCGGTACAATGCGTGATTGACTTTCCTTTTTCCAGCCTGCCGTTCCAGGTTTCCTGGGTGCTTTTTTTTTTGTTTTGTTTTGATCTAGTCCGAACAGTTTGATGGAGTTTCAGGGGCTTCTGGTCTGTCACGAAACGAGTTCCAGCCAATGGGCGGGCGAGAAAAGGTCGTTTCTCTGCGGGCGGAAAGAAACGGACAATTGAACGGGAGGTTTGGCAGTGTACATAGATGACTTGCATGCAGATATCAATATTCCTTGCGTAGTGTAGACACGAGAGGTCCGTATCTCCAACTTGCTGAAAGGGGTCCCATTCGGTTCCTGAATGATAAAGTCTGGCCCACCTATTTGGGAGTTACATTGGTTCCATTTGGTTATGGACGACCAAGCTCACGAAGCCACCGGCGTCTGCGCCAGAGAACGTGGGTCCCAAATGGTACGCTGAGTGGCAGTACGGCCTATCTTTTATCATATACTGATACCACGCAGTGTATGTGCAAAAAAGGGGTGATAATCTGCATATCCTGGCGCAGAGTCGTAACATGTGGAAAAGGGAATTCTGCCTGCAGCGTGGTTGACTTGCTTTTTAGTTTCCCGATCGATGACTGTCTATCTGTGTCGAACTCTGCCATCAGTCACCACAAATTCTGACCTCGGCAAGTCTCTTTGATGAGAAAGAAAGGAGATTTTGCCTCCAGCAGCCGCGAATTTCTAACGGCTGCCTCTATCAGGCCTATCAAAAGGCCCAAAACAGCCTTCACCTATCATTGCCCTGTCTTCACAATGTCTCTTGTTTGGCGTTCGTTCTTGCGCCTAACCACGACTGGGAGATTGACATGGATGTTCTGATTAGCTACCGAGGTACCTGAGCTTTAAAGGCCAGCACCGGTAGGAGAACGTGCCCTTTTGCTGGTTTGGACACAAGGGTCAGAGCTGGTTACCGCGTGTATATATCGCTCTTGGATATTTATGCTCGATATGTAAAGTGAAGCAACATCTGATAATATTGCGCACGTGGTCAGCTCATGACCAAAGGACATGGGAGCTGCGTTGGAAGTATCATGCAAATGGCCGGTAGAAGAAAACTGGCAGGTAGCAGCCAGTCTATCCCACGGTACCAACCGTTGTCCTAAAGGAATGAGCTAAAGAAGGTGGGACGAAACGGTCGGGGGTCATTGTCGCGCTTCAATCTTGATATTCCCGTCGCTTAAGCGACTTCATAATGTTTGCTGTTGACAGTGGCGGAGCCATATGGTCGGAGAATACATACTGTCTTGGGGGAAGATCTGCTGACGAGGTGGACAATGCCTCGTCAACAGGCTGCCCCGCGAAGAAGATGAGTGCCCCTCACGTCAGGTCCAGGGGCTATTGGTATGCTGGTAAGGAGGATTGGCCTTTGGGAGGAGGGGGGAGGGGGACTGGGTAGTTCATCTTAGTGTACACTAGTCGCCGATACTGTTTAACCTGCACATAACGATCAAGGGTGTTTCTGGTGTTTTGATCGTTATGCCCAGAGTATCGTTAATGTAAGGTAGGCTAGTTTGGGCTTCTAGACTAATCAGAAGGCCGTGGATAGCTGGAAGGACCCACTCCTTGCCGTTACAAGCTGTAACGGCCTGTCACTAGACGTCTCAGAACTGAACCAAACCCCCCAAGTATAACGATTTTAGTGTGGCTCGCCGTCAAAATCTGATCGAAATCGTAATGCGAAGGTTGATCGTTACTCCCATACAAATCTGCACCGTTACCGTGATCTTGAGCGTTATAACCAGAATATCGTTATGTGGCTGATCGTTATGTGCAGGTCGAACAGTACTGATTTTAGGGCCGAAGGCATCCAGAAACAGATGGAACCGGAGCGGGAGTGAGGATCCGTCTGTCTCGACCAAGGCGCCTGTTTCGTCTGAGCTTGAGGTATTCCCGTCTCAGGTAGATATGGCAACCGAGACTGTGTGAAGCCGCAGTGCATGCTCAGAAGGACTTGATGAAAAGTTACTGTAAGAGCCATCCATAATGGTAGCGTGGGCGTATTTGCGCGTGCTAGAAATACACCTGTCCTGTGTTCCTGCAGTAATGTCAAGTTCGTGCATGCAGACACTGGAGTTTGCATCGATCCCGGTGCGGCTGGAGGCGGGGCCGCGGGACGGTGGCGTTGGGATGACACAGATGCTTTTAGCATCACTCCAGTCTTTGCGTCGCGAGCTGCTTGTATTCCACATCTGAAGCCTTCCGCTGTATATCCAAAAGGAATTCGTTGGAAACGAGCACAAATACTTACCAGCATGAGAAGAAGTTCCGCAAATCGTGTTGTTGAGCGTGAAATGAGATGCTGCCGTTCGCAGTCGGGTGAAATCACCAAAGCAACTTCCTAACCTCCAACAGGTCAGTGGCGTCGATTGCCATGGCGGCATGGGCCCTTGAGCTGTGACCCTAATCCCTGCAGTTAATTTCATGAGGGATGGTGGGATGGTAGCCACCACTGCCGAGCGAGTATCCTGTTAACTCTGAGCATCTCATTCACCCTGTCATATCTCGGCTTCAAAGAGCTCTGACACCGGGGCTACGATGGATCGTGTTAGCGAGAATCCTTGGAGCCCTGGCGCTGCCTCATGCACGAAAGGACACCAAAAGTGTAGCGACCCCAGCCAGTGTCATGAGCACCTGCTGTCCTTGACCAGCCCTTCCTGGTTTGATTGAACAACGCCGGCGGCACATGTGGATGGATGCGGACTGGCGCGGACGTTGCGGATCCAATACAGTTACATTCACGGGGCAGTTCGCGGGGACAGGCTTTGTCGACGAGCACGACGGGGGAATTAAACTTGGCCCAAAGTTGGCCGCTGTCCGGATCCCGGAGGACATAGCGCCAGAGTATCAGTCAGTCGATTGCGATCTCTCAAATCTCAGGGATTAGGGGGGTTGTTACCTCGAACAAAGGATTGGACATTGACAAAGAGACGACTCAGCAAGAGTGCCCATTGGACGACTGAGAGGGGAAGTGAAGCAAAGGCCAAAGATGTATGGTACTGGAGAGGGGGGAGAGCAAGCAGCTGGAAGGGAAAAAAAAAAAAAAAAAAAAAAAAAAAAAAATCGAACTGGTCCCTGGCGTCTCCCAATCTGTCTGGCGGGCACTCTTTGCCAACTTCCCATCTTATTCTATCCCATCCCATTGTTCAGTATCATCCGAGCCATCCCAACCGGCTGGGTCTACCCGCTGCTTGTTCCGGTGTCTGGATCCATCATTTGACACTTTCCATCTTTCATTCTTCATCCTCTCACTACTCCCGCTTCTCGTCCCGTTTCGGCTCTGACCCCCCAAATGTCGCGACTCATACCTACACTGTAGGGTAGGTTCGAAACAAGGACACAGAAACCCTCACTCAGCATTCTACGTTCCGCGATACACAAAGGATTCCGTGGAAAGGCGTATCTCGGTTGTCACCTCAAACAGCCTGCTCTTTCATCACGGTCCAACGCAGCCACACAGGCCCATCTGCATCCAACTTAAGCAGGCATATCCAACAGCGCCATTTACGCTGTCGATTCCCTTCATACACACGGGTGTATATTCCACTTTGCTCCGCATCGCAATAAGAGGTCAACACTTAATATTGAACCACCCGTGAAAGACCACCACGGTGAATTAATATATGCGACGTTAATCAGGGTCTCCGGGGCACTTCGAAACTTTGGCGAGTTATCCTGCGTTACTAAGCTCTGACCCCTTCCGCAGGTCCCTTCACAGGTCGCCTTTTCTCACACCCGGACTCCCTTAATTGGCCGCCAAGTCCCGGACTCCAGGCGCTGTCCTCCTCTTTCTCAGTCTGTGCCGGGTTGTGGTACCTAGGTTCCATCCCCCCTCTCCAGGGGCGCTTTTGTCGCATTACGGACCACGGGCATGTCGCAGCTTGCTCACCCGGCCGATGCTGGCCCGTCAAACCAACATTATGACGGGAGAGCTTTTACCACCGTACCACCATCACCCAAAAGTGCGCTGCCAATAACACCCTCATCGACGAGGTATGTATGTCATCCTGTTTCTGCGTTTGGCTTTGCTTCAGGTCATTTCTCGTTTTGCGCCTCTAATTTCCCCAAGTGAGTGTTGAGTTGAGATTGTTTTCGGGCGGGCGTGGGTTTGTTGGTGTTGCCCATTGGATCGGACTTCAACACTGGGTGGTTGTGCTGTCGGGACCCGTGCCGCTTGAAGACTTGGGGCATTGGATGGATACTGGAGACGGGCAGGAACGGTAATTCGCAAGAGGTTGAGATTCAGACGGACGATCCCAAGAGTAATTCTCGACTGTCCAGCGGCGCACAACCGACACCGGACAAACCGCCGCCAGCCGACCTGCCTCCCCCAGCTTGTTCTACTGTCTTCACTGCCGTGTTACTGTTAGAAAGTTACTGCTGCCGTGTCCACGATACTGACCCAATCGATCTGTCACATCAGGTTCCCACAGAAACCTGTTCCAAGCCCGTTGCAACGAAGTATTGCTGCCTCTCCCCCGACGAGTCCCGGCCCAACGCAATCCGACTTCCCGCCGACGTTTTACAACCCTTTCGCAGCGGCCGCGATTCCACGGATAGTAACCACGACTGCTCCCGATCACCCCTCGCCGACTGCCTTCTTCGATAGCGAATCTTCGGGCAGAGATACTCCAGAGGAAACAAGGCCAGGGTGTGTAGACCCCAACTTATGCGTGCTGTCTTTCGCCGCAGGCTCCTGAAGGCAACAACGAGCCCCAAACACCATGCTAACTTACGCATGTTATATATCAGACCAGAATCGTCGTTCAGCCCGAAATCCTCGAATGTTCGCAATAACTCGATCACGGGACTGATTCAGCAGCCTTCCCCAGGCTCCTCTTCCGGCCAAGCTTCTGCCATGGCAGGTCCATCGGCAGTGCGGGCTGACCTTGTCAGGAGTACCCCGCGAAACTCCTCCATGGACTCAGCGATATCAGCAATATCATCGAGCTCGAATACAACCACAAAAGCGTCCCAAGAAAACAACACGGGGACGACAGAGATTGCCAACTTAATCAAGACCGCCGGAAGTCCAGAGGCAGTCATCCAATACTTGCTGAAAGAGAAGCAATCCCAATCGCAGCAGAACGCGCAACTGTGGCGACTAGTTGACAAGCAGAGAGCTATGATCTTGGGCCTTAATAAGGATCTCGAACGGGCTTTGAAAGACAAGGAAAAATACAGGAAGAAACTAAAAGAGCTCCTGAGCGATCCAGACGGACCGTCAGTACCGGCGGTAGCAAATGCCAAAGCTCAAGAACTAAACAGGACCTCAACCGCCTCCGACTTCTCAACCCAGGAGCAGGTGCTGGAAGTCCCAGATTCGCCTGGCCAAGGCTCAACCAACTTGAGGCAATCATCCGTTGATATGTCAGTGGCGCCTTACCCTGTGACTCCTCCTGCTGGCCAACTACCTTCTCACGGTTCCCCGTCCGCCGTGGGTGAGATGCTGGACCCTTCTCATACGATGCCAAGACCGAGCGAACACGCGGTAGATCATTACGATCATGACGCGTTAGAATGGGAACGCGAGAAGGCCAGAAGGCAAGCGGGCGAGGCCGAGGAACAAGCTGCCGGGCTTCATATCAACCCGAACCTACCACCGTCAAGAAGTTTGCCGAGCAAGCCTCCCCGGATGCCGCTACCTGCGACGCCTACAGAGCCGCCCTTGTCCAAGCGTATCGAGCTTCCTGTACAGGGCCAACTACCCCCTCCAACATCACCACCTTTGCGTAAACCACCACCCGCGCCTCTTCAGCTTAAGGATAGTGCCCTACACAGCAAAAGGGTACCACAACCCGAGGCAGACAGCGAATCTGAGTATGAAGACGACCCCAAGGCCGATCAACATAGTCTCGAAGAACGAAGAGGCCGTCGAAGAACACGAGAGGAGGATGAACGCGATCGTGAAATTATGGCCAGGAAAGAAGCAGAATTACGAAGCCTCTCGAAAAAGAGCAAAAAAAGTGCCAGTAGGGCCGCAAACGAAGAAGTGCCGCCGCCGCCTCCGGCCGAAATGCCATCCAACCCCCGATTTCTCGAGGTGAAGATGAGTCCCCCTCCTCAGGAGACTGTCTCGTCACTCGTCGGGGTTCTCAATGGATCCAATCAGCGGGATGCATCCTATGCAATGCCGCTTTTGAGCCCTGGCCTTCCCTCTAGCCCACGCCCGATGCCGATGGGAGTTAGCTCACCATCACTCTCGCCTAGGGGCATGAACTTTATGGGAGCACCGTTGTCTCCACGACCACCGCGAGCGCCAATTCCTCTGCCTCCAAACACGCCTCTGCACATCTCTGCTCCGCCGGCGATGCCACTACCTTCTCCTCGACCCATGCATATGGTCAAGGAAACAGACAGCATGTCTTCCACCTCCAGCCCCACCAAAAGCACTTACGAGAGCCCGACAGAAAGGACTAGGATATATAGGGGCTTCATGACGGAGGAATACCCTGACCTTTTGCTTCCACCAAACGCTCTTCCATCCATCGATATCAAAGTTGCGTCTTCTCGCATGAAGCCCTCCAGGGCTAGCTTATTATCCATGACACAGCTCGAAGAAGACCCGGTTTTTACCCTGGCTGTGTTCTCTAGAGCCGACGGTGGTGAGCTATGGAGGGTCGAAAAGGACTCTGCTTCCTTGGCAAAGCTCGACTCGAGGCTTAAGCTGTGTCCCACGTTCACTGCGAAAACTCCGGACAGGTCTTTGTTTAGTGGACATGCTCCTGCAAAGCTGGACGCCCGTCGGATTGCTCTTGATCAGTACCTGGAAGAGCTGTTAAATACTCCTCTCGATCACTCTACGGCGCTGGAACTGTGCAAGTATCTGTCCACGCATACTCTACCGCCAAATGCCGACGAGACTGGATCTTCGACTGGCTATGAAAATCCAGAAGCAGTACTAACAGGCCCTGGCGGAAGACCTTTCCGCAAGGGTTATCTCACGAAGCGCGGCAAGAACTTTGGCGGCTGGAAGGCCAGGTACTTCATCCTAGATAGCCCCCATCTCAAGTATTACGAGACACCAGGTGGCGCCCATCTGGGGACTATCAAGCTACAGAAGGCACAAATTATGACGCAGGTTGGCAAACAAGGTCATCATGGCGCTGAAGATCCTCCTGCCCGTGGACCTGGGATGGAAAACCCCGACAATCAGTACCGCCATGCTTTCGTGATCAAAGAACCCAAGAAGAAAGACCCAACTAGCGTCACTACACATGTGTTGTGTGCCGAGAGTGACAGGGAAAGGGATGAGTGGGTATCAGCATTGTTGCGCTGGATCGACTACACCGATGATGAAAAGGATGAACGCTCGAAAAAAAACCAAACCCACGACAGGCATGATTCTAATACCTCGGAACGGGCCAATGGCGGTCATAATAAGAAGAAGCAACATGCTGAGGCTCTGGGCAGGAGTTACGATACCACAAAGCAACGTGACTTGCCACAAGGCGTCTCATCATATCAGCCGGCTGCTGCTCAGGGACACGCCGCGCCATCTCAAGCTGGCTTTACAATTTCAGCACCTCGCGATCCCCAGGTCATTTCGAATTCCGAGGCTTGGGGCACCAAGCTAGGCATCGTTCCCGCCGCGCCACCCTCAGTACCGCCCGTTGTGGAAAAGGCCCCGAGACCGCGGAGAAGTATCTTTGGTTGGGGCGATAGCAAAGAGAAGGCCGGAAAGTCTGTCGATTCACACCATACGCTTTCCGGTGAAAATGGCCATGCGGGTGCCGGCATCAACAGCCACGGTCCGGTCAGACCTGTGTTTGGTGCGCCCTTGGCTGAAGCAGTTAGGTACAATGCACCAGCCGACGTTAGGGTCCCGTTGCCGGCTGTTGTCTATCGCTGTATTCAGTACTTGGATGCGAAGGATGCCATCAACGAAGAGGGTATCTTTAGGTTGAGCGGTTCCAACGTTGTCATCAAGCAGCTGAAAGAACGGTTCAACAACGAGGGCGACATCAACCTGGTTGACGATGGGCAGTATCACGATATCCATGCTGTTGCATCCTTGCTCAAGGCTTATCTACGCGAATTGCCCACGACCATACTGACACGGGATCTTCATCCCGAGTTCCAGTCCGTTACTGAAAAGCTCCCAGATCAAGCCCAGAGGATCGCAGCTCTTTCGGTGCTCGTAGAACGACTCCCACAAGCCAATGGTACCCTTCTCAGGTACCTGATTGCTTTCCTGGTCAAGATCATCAATCATGCAGACTCGAACAAAATGACCGTACGCAACGTTGCCATTGTGTTCTCGCCTACACTCAACATTCCAGCTCCTGTTTTCGCACTTTTCCTCCAGAATTACGAAGCGATTTTTGGCATTGACCCCGGCGAATATGAGCTTCCCACAACGGACTCTGATAGCGTCCACGGCAGCACTCACGAACGCACTGGATCGCATCCATCGGACACTCGATCGTCAACTCATAGTGGCTCGCCATATGGGCAACGGCCTATGAAGCCTGTGATTGAGGGCCAAGTGAGCCGCAACACACCAACGCCACCACTTTCTATGAGCATGCAACATATGGCTCAGATGAACGCTGCGCAAATGCACTCGCGAAGTACTCCCACACCTCCTCTTCAAAGGCCCGCCTATGATGACATTGCGTTATACTCTGCGCAATCAGGATTGAGGCCTAGTACAGGTTTCGAAAGATCTCACGACTTCCATCCGTCTGCCCCCTCGTATGAGCAGTATTCGATGAAGGACCGACGCAAGAGCAGCATGCCCAACCTTCACCCTTCGGGAATAAGAGGCCATATGAGGGACGATAATCGGTTCTAACCACTTCAATCTGTACTTCTTCTATCGAACATCTTGACGGAAACTGTCGGCGCTGAGGATCACTTATTTTGGCGCCTTTTCTTGGATATCTCTACCAGATCCTCTTTGAGATGTTACAACACATGTTGTATAGCATTTTTGTGCCATTATTCTTCATCTCAACCTTTTTTTTTTTTTTTTTTTTTTTTCCGCAACTAACATAAGATACCAATGCATTCCAATATCCATTAGCTTCTTTTCTTCCTCTTCTATCTTCTTCTTCCCGTCTCAATCGGGGTCACCTAGACTAGATGGCGGCTGTTGTCAAGCATTAGACCGTCTGTTCAACTTTGATCGCAAATCACAACCCTCAAGACGTTATGTATCATATTAGCAACACCGTTTACGCTACTTGGAAATATGGCTACAGTGAGAGAAAACATTGATCTGCTTGAATAATATGTAGAGATAGTATGAAGTCGAGTTCTTGACGAGTTAATGACAAGTATTGTCTTCGATGGAAAATATTTGGAGAGTTTCGGCAGGCGCAAAGCTGATACTGATGCAGTGATGTTCATGCTCAAGGAAAATGGAAAGCCTGTGTGACGAACCTCGCTCTTGTGAGTTTTAAGTCTCGACTGGCTGATCCAGACCCATACGGAAATCGTGATATGTAACACCCGATCAGGGACAAAAGCACAGACCACGTGAGCAGACATGCGACCTAGTGCGCTTAGTGTCAGATAAAACTTACCGATTCTCCGACTTTTCCACCTGGACAGCCAACAGCGTCATCGGCAGATCGGACGAAGAAGGCCCGTCATCACCGACGTCAATTCATCAGATGCCGTTAGGCCATCACAACCATGGATATCGATCCCAAGCTTCGCAGTTCTGGCAACCACGCGGCCCATGGAGCTCCGACACCGACTGTTCCAAATAAGGCTTCAATGACGACATCGTCGATAGACGCGGCCGCCCAGAACGCGTTGAGTAATACCAAGGGTGGCCGTGGTATTAATGCACCAAGTCCCCGCAACAACCAAAATGAACAACAGCTACATTCACAATATCATCCCAACTCCCAAGCCCACATGCCATCCGGTCAACCAGACCACAGCTCCCAACTTCAATCTGCTACTGGAAGTCAGACGAACTCCCCGGTGCAGTCTCAGTTCCAGTATCAGTCGCAGTCGCACTCGTCGGCACAACCTCATAATATCCGACCGCAGTTACAGACACCGCACAGGCAACCAGGCTTGAAAAGATCCGCACCATCGCAAGCGACTGCTCATAACCCTCTGCCCTTCTCTTCTTTCCCGCCGCAATCGCCCACCTCGTCCGTCGGCTACAGTCCCAACTCTTCCGCTGCCGCTGGCACTGCCACAGCCAATGATACGCCTGCTAATGTCCCATCACCCAGTGCTGATGGCGGAGGCAAAGATCCCAACGGGGAACCCAAAAAGCCTCGGGCTTGCGAGAGTTGCCGTAGCCTCAAGGTTCGATGTGAGCCAGACCCCGCAAATCCGAACGGGGACTGCAAACGATGCGCCAAAGCAAAGCGTCCTTGTATCGTGACGGAACCCTCGCGCAAGCGTCAGAAAAAGGCAGACAATCGGGTGGCGGAGCTAGAGAAGAAAATCGATGCTCTGACAGCGACCTTACAAAACGTGCGCGGTGGCACGAATCCCCTGTCCATGGTATCTCCATCTGCCTCCTCAGCAACTACTGGGCCCGATGCGCAAGCGGTGCCCAGGTATACAACAGCGACTTCTTATGACCCCAATGAGAATGGATCTGGAAGGGGGGTGTTAGGTCAACCGCTTTCCGCAACAAGGGATTGGCCTATCACACCAAGAGAACAGCCTACGTCGGGACGCCAACCGACACCGTCACGAGCCTGGACTGCCTATGACAAAATGGATCGCGATAACGACCCTTACACAACGCCGAATATGGCCCCTGGGGGGCAGAAAAGGAAGCATACTGATGATAGGGAGCGAGCTAGTCAGGATCCGCGAGATGATTTCTCGGTACCACGACCGCCAATAAGACACCCTGATATTGTAGACCGAAACATAATCAGCATGGCTCAGGCCGCTGCGTTCTTCGAGCGTTACAATGAGCACATGGTTCCGCATCTACCAGGCGTCGTTTTCTCCACCGACATGACGGTAGATAAGCTCAGGAGAACACAACCGATCCTGTTCCACGCGATTATGGCTGCTGCCGCGGGGGAAATACCCTCGGTACAGAAGATTCTCACGAATGAATTAATGAAACGCTTTGCGGAGGAGGTCATGGTGACAGGAACCAAAAGTCTTGAGCTCGTCCAGGCAATCCAGGTGGCTACCATATGGTACTGGCCGCCCGAACGCTTTGAGGAGCTCAAGTTCTACCAGTTACTTCACATCGCCGCCGTCATGGCCATCGATCTCGGCCTTGGAAGGAAAAGGCAGCCAAGGGGCGGACTAAGGAATGGCATGCCCTCCACCTTACGTGACAAAATCATGTACAGACCACCTCCTCCAGATCCCACATCAATCGAATCCAGACGGGCGTGGTTGACGTGTTATTTTCTCGCCACAAATACTTCCATGGCACTTCACCGACCGAATCTCATCCGATGGTCCTGGTTCATGGAAGAAAGTGTCAAAATACTGGAGACATCGCCTGAAGCAGCACCAACGGACAAGTATCTTTGTCATTTAATTTGGACGCATAGACTAGCAGAAGAAGTTGGCATCAATTTCTTTGATGATCATAATTCAGGCTCCAGCATCAGGATTCTGAGAACACAGCATCTACTCAGCTACTTTGAGCACAAGCTGAATGAGTACCAGAAGTCACTCCCAGACGAAATGCGCCAGCCGTCGCTCATGTTAAGCTTTTACGTCCTTGATTTGTACATGCACGAGATCGTCTGGCAAAACGAGAGCCCCGATGACGGCAAAGGGCCCGCCACGTTGATTGATGGTCAAACGGCTTGGCTAGACGGTAACTTGACGCCTGCCCACGTCAAAGCGCTGAGCGCAACTCTGGAGGCAATCAAGCACATCTTCGATGTGTTTCTCACCATGGAGGTCCATAGCATACGCTGTCTGCCTGCCTTCAGCTTTGTACGCATCGCCTACGCCGTGGTAATCTTGATCAGAATCTATTTGTCTGTGATTTCGCCCAAGACCGAGCTCGGAAAGGTGATGAGAAAAGAGGACGTGGAGGTGGAGAAATGGATCGAGAAGCTTCTAGAGAAGTTCAAAGCCACCATGGCGGACGACAAGAACAGGACAGCTGCCAAATTCTTCTTTGTTCTCGGGATGCTTAGACAGTGGTTTCAAGCGCAGAAGCAGCCTGCCTGGCCAAAAGGTTCAAGCATCCCCCGTGCTGAGGCTGGTCCTTCCGGAGCGGGCTCAGCAATGGGTACCTTGTCGACAGAGTCGTCTAGTACGCCTCCATTTGCTAGCAATCAAATATCACGAAAAGATAATGCTGCCGACAAGGACCGCACTCCCGCCGCTGGGTCGATACGATCAAATCAAATATACAAGCAACAACAGCAACAGCAACAGCAACCGAATGCATCTGATTATCCAACCACAGCAGACACGCCACTTCATCTCCTCTCCGAGGTCGCGACACACGAATCATCGTCCGTCCCGACCCCCAGCTCCGGTCCTCCTCCTCCCGGAAAATTCACCGTATCAGCAGGTCCATCATCTAGCCAACACAACGCCCACATGCCCAACAACGCGAACATTATCCTCTCTGCCCCAATCAGCGCAGCATCCAGTGGGGCTGCTGTGGATTGGAATCTCCGATCACAGCCGCAGCCTGCCCAACAGCCACCATGTTTGTCGAACACCAATTCCTCCGCACCCATTCCAGATATGAACCAGCAGCAGCCCTCAACAGGGCCTCTTGACCCCCTCCCCTGGCTCAGCCAAGCGTTCATCCCCGAATTTGAACCCGCCAATTTTGGCGATGGGTTCGAGCAGGCCATGGACTTGACGCTCGGCGGGCTGGCGGGCGATGACTTTAATATCATGGCGCTGGGTATGGGCTTGGGTATGGGAGTAGGCATGGACTTGGGTGGAGGCGGGGGCTTCGACGGCGGTCTAGGGGCTGGATTTGGAGGTCAAGGTGCTGCTGCTGGGTTAGGGGGAGCGAGATCGGCGTATGATTACGGGCAAGGCTGGTATGGGGCGGGACAGCAGCAGCATCAAGGGCAGCAGCAGCAGAATGGGAACCAAGGAGGATCAGGAGGTGGTAGTAGTGGCGGAGGGGGAGGACATGGGCAGCAGCAGCAGCAACAGCATGCTGTTCATGGCGGACATGGTGGGCATCATGCTGGGGGGATGAATCCAATATGGGGTATCACTGATGGAACAAAACCATGGTGACATTTCTGGACTTGTTTGACTCAAAGAAAGGCCGTGGTGTTCCCAACAGAAGCCCAGCAAGCACTGTTTCCCCGAGCGTATCTCTGTGTCGAAGATTGAAATCAGTTGGATAAACAAAATCAAGCATGTACACATGGCATGAGTAATGGTTAATGAATAATAGGTTGAAAATTTTGGGGGGGGGGTGTGTGGGATTTCCGATGAATGACACGGATTATGATGACAGAAGAAAGAAGAGGTGGAAGGTGGCACATGGTTATGATTACAGCTGTGGGTAGGATAAAAGATCACCATGGGTTTAATCAACGCGGTCCCATCCCACACTCTCTTTGTTTATGTGCTTGAGATGTACGCAGTGTTACCTTCTTGCTCGTATGGAGGAGAAAAGGCTCAGACTTGGAAGCCACTTGACTGCTCTAGTCACACTCACTATATGGCTTACTAGACGGTGGCGACAGTAGGTATCTACCTAGCTTACATGGCGAGGTTCCATCATAAGAAATCATCTGCGAAACCAGATCTCCACGCACGTGAATCTACGGGAGCGAAGGGCAGGTATCTCAGTAATATCGTAAACATACCGTCGAATCTGACGAAGCAAAATACGTCCTTTGTGAAATCAGAAACCATAACCTACTTACTACTTATCATATCGATTACTGTACTCAAAATCGACAACAACATACAACATCAACAACGTACCTAGTCAAACTCAATATCATTACCACAAAAACAACCAACTCACCTCGAAACCCGCAACATCGGGTCTCAGACGCATACACACACAAAAACAGAAGCAGCTGGTTTATCTATCTGGGCTCGAAACGCCTCACGTCCAGGCGAACAGCCCAGCAGACACCCATAAGACAACAAAGAAGAAAAAAAAAAAAAGAAAAAAAAAGAAGAGAGAAAGAGAGATACATTAGCCAAGTACTGTATACACGGCCGCCCGACCCGCACGTCAAAACCTCTTTATATCTGCATTTCATTCGAGCCGTTCGTTCATCCTTTATGCTCCATATGCGGAGAGAGTCTTGCCTGCCGTGGAATCGCGGCTTATTCCTAGTGACGGGATGGAGATTGAGATTGGAGCTCTCATTGTAGGGAGAGAAATCAAAAGGACTGTTTACAGCAAATTGGCTGTAAAGAGTTGAGTGTTGAACCAAGGTTGGTCGCTGGAAAGGGAGAGAAGAGGAGACTAGACGTAGAGTGGCAAATACTTCGAGGTACCTAGGTGGATGCAATGATGAAGCACTCTGGCTGTACCTACTAGACAGTTAAGCTTGCATTTACTTGCTCTCTACTGCCGAGGTTTCCTTGAAAATTCACAGCACGTGGCCGTGGGTGTATGTCTATGCCGTGCGTCTGCATGCCTAGTATCGCGATGCGATTTCGCAGCGTCGGTGCCGGCTGGTGGAAGCCTATGAACGAGGACGTGGGTAAGCAGAAGCATGTGATTGTCTTCTGAGGGCCTTGGGTCATAACAAAGCCCCGATATGTGAACGGTTCAGTGTGTTACGACAGGAAGCAGAAGGTATTGAAATATGTATTGTATTGGGTAATCTATTTGACGATTACCGTAACCACCAAGCCTTCCCATAACCATTGCCCATATGCTTGAATGTTCCTGCCACTCCTCCCAATCTGTGTGTATCGTCCTCAAACATGCCAACCTTGTGAAGCAACCGATACCATAAAAACCGATACCCGATTCATACGAAACATGAAAGAGAAAAAAGCGAGTTCGTCTCAACCTGATGAAACTGGATGGTGTGGTCATTTCCTCATCTCGGATCGCTCGCCTGCTTCGCCTTAGAACGACCGGCGTATGTACCTTTGCCGGTAAACAAATAAAACAACAACGATGCAATAGTAAGTTCCATAGGTGCAGTTCCCCTATTGAAAATGAACCTTTGCCATAGTTTATGTCCGGTTTTGTTTTCTTCAAGGCCTGCCGCGACAGGAGAACCTAGCCCTTCCCTAAACTCCGGTGCATGAGGGCGGAGAAAACTGATGCTCCAGTCCCAGAAAGAAAAAGCAGATATGTCATGTTGTAAAAACCAATGTAAAAGAAAACAACGTCAAGCCAGTGATTGAGGGACCGCGCTCAGTCCATGTAAAAGTCGCCCTTCAGAATGCGCTCCTGGAAGGGATCGGGCTTTTGTGGGACAGGTCGTGCCTTCGGCGCCTGGGCGGGAGGCGCCGGCATTTCGGAGACAGATTTGGTCCTGTCATGTTGAGGGGTCGAGACTGGCGGAGATGGGCGCCTAAAGCCGGCGCCAGGAGGCGAGCCACTGAGGCCCGAGGTAAAGGAGATTGAGTGCCGTTGACCAGAGACGGTGCTCTCAGCACGAGATCGAAGTTGCTCGGACCAGTTGAAGCCTTGCTCTGAACGAGGAGATAACACATCAGAAGGGGTCTTGAGTGGAGTAGCAATGTTTGGCTGGGAAGGCGTCTTTCCCCATATGTAGTTACCAGTGCCCGGGGACGAGACAGGCGGTGGAGTAGGAGGAGGGCCACGAAGGAAAGTGCTATCATTGCGGGTTGGTGGGGACGGCCTACCATTTGTCCCAGGGCTTACACCACCCCAAGGACCTCGGGCACCTAGGCTCATGCGGCGGCCGAAGGGAACGGCTGGAGCGGTGCGGGCTGAATCATCTTCATCAATGGCGTTCTCTTCAGCCAGTTCCGAGTTGTTGGTGGAGAGGCTGGCACGACGCATAAAGGAAGCCGACGGCGATGTTCCGGACAGGCCGAGGGTGGTGATGGAGAGTCTCCGACGTTGCTCGTTGATGGCGGCAGATGTTCCGGGGAAGTTAGGTGGCTGGCCCTGTGTGATGGAGTTGCTTCGGAAGAGGCTTGCCAAAGCGGCAGATGAAGCAGTCACAGAACCCCGTCTCTGTTGGCGCGCCATATCGTTGTTGGTCTGATTCGAATTGCTGTTGTCGGAAGACATGGTGAAAGAGGCGGACAGGTGGCGGCGAGGTGAAGGGGCAATATGTAGGTTCTGGGAAGGGTCTGTTCTGGTCCAAGCTTTGTTGACGGTCGTATTGGAACAGTTCGTGGAGATGCGGTAACGGTTTCGAAGGTGAGGGAAGGGTGGTGTGGTAGTTGTTTTCGTGAAAGACGAGCTCGTATGTTTGCAAGTGGCAGTGGTTCGAGTTGCGTGCGACCCGATGCAGTCGGTGTTGTAGAGGTGAAACGCAGCCGTTAGGGGGTAAACGTCAAGTCGGGCGGGGCCGAGATGACGACTGAGGGTGTGCGAGGGGAGGTTATAGACGGCAGGAATGATGTGATGTTATCGGATTGCTCCAGATTGCGCACTCTAACTGCACCTGAGGCAAGGAACGACTGGGTAATGCCGTGCAATGGAATTGACTGATGGCCAAACAGCAAAAACGATCGACACTCGCAATATCTCCCGTCTCGGTTGACTAGAGCAAGCTATCCGGGACCAAGTAGTCGGACGGGCTCTATCTTGTCTCACCAACTCCTTTGTTCCCCGTTAAGCAGAAGATAGAATGGTGGGCAAATGTCCGCTTCAAGTTGCACCTTCGTGCTTCTTTCTGTTACGAGTGGCTCTGAAAGGTATCGGTACTTGGAGCTTCAGAGGAAACAGATGATGATTGAGGAATTGGGGATGAGGTGCCACGAGGAAAACTGGAGGCAAGAGGAGCGGGGATACCTAATGTACACTTTCCTTGGTCTATCAAAGAGGGGAGACAAAGCCCCCAAGAACCCCTACGGCCAAGCTAGAGGGTATGTACCCTCAAGGGGCGCATCACACCTTAAATCAGACGCGAAGGTTCCGTACCGTCAAGCTGAGCATGGCCGTGAGCTATTGACCGAATATCCCTTTAACGGTGAAAATTTATCCTTTTTTGCCAAGACCAGCGATACCTGCAGTACTTAGTGACTTCCTTGACGCAGCCAAGCAACGCTAGTCACCCTGTCCATGCAACAGATTGCCGATGTCAAAAGTGTCGTTTTTGCTAGTAAAATCAGCGATTTTGCATAGCATGTTAAGGTAAAGAGACAGACTTACCAGACTGCACAGGTGAACTCCAACATCGCCAGATCTTTTGCCGTAGTATTGAGGCTTTTGAGATCGATATTCCAAAATAAATATTTCACTAATTTTAAACTCGTCACCCAGTAAGGCGCCCGCCCAGCCGGTGCCAGCCCAGCCCGTGCCAGCCCACCCTCCAGCCCACCCTTCAGCAGGCATTAACCCCGCAGATCGCTTACCCTTACGTATCCTCCCTCTCCCCAGCAAACTAGAGCTAAATACCGATAATAATAAAGGTAACTTTATACCCGACTCTAAAAACGACTGTAATAACAAGGACTATAATAAAGGATACCCTAAACCGCCAGACGACGAACTCCCAGTTATCCCTAAGTTTGACCGATAGGACCGGCGTTATATTTATCTATTAATAGGTAAGCTTCCCAATAATATACCCAACAATTTGACCGCCGCCGTCGACTACGAACCTACAGAGCGTCGGGTCGGTTTTATCAACTTTTAATATTTCCCCTTCAATACAGTCCGGGGTAATAGCAGTACGTTCACACACCAAATTACTCATCCCCCTTCTATCATTACTATATTATTAGCCTTCTATTAATACTTCCCCTCCTATATAGTAGAATAGTAGGTATAATAGACTAACCTTCGTAAAATCTTATTACTAAGTAAGAATAACTCTTACTCTCGTAAAACGCGTTAGGTGCCCACTTACGCTGCGGAGCTGTACGTACTATTCACCATTTTACTATATATTAGCCTCTATGCAAAAGCGAACCTCCCTTCGTATTAGTAGGAGAAAGAGGGGCACCCGAATTACCTAGTCTATAATTAAATACCTTTTTTCTAATTCAAAATACTTCTAAAGCGCTTTTGCGTGTAGGATCCTATTTAAAATGATCTTACTCTCTAGGATAGAGTATATAATTTCGACAGATATATTTAGAGAATCTATTTTAAACTGCGGACCCCGCTACAATACGTCGCTGTTAATAAGAAAATAGTAAAATATATTAGTAAAAGTATAGTAATGGTCTATATCCCTAATAAACCAATACCACAGGGTATTAAAGTTTAGGTTACTACGGCTGGCGGTTACTTCTTTAACTGGAGGTAGTATAATAATACGGTTAGCGTTATCAATTTGAATAAGTATATATAGTATCCCCTACTAAAATTTATTTAATAATTAATTAATTAAATATTAATAATAGGGTGAATTAATACTGATTTAAGTAATAGTAATAGAGCTAGTAATTAGATTACCCTACCTACCTTACTAGTCTGTTTATTATATATTTACTAATAACCTTTTTACTATTCTCGCTCTCGTACGCTACCTTCGTACTAAAAATATCGCAATTACTAGTATAATACACTCCAACCGCACAATACTACAATTTATTAAATTTTGAGAAGTCGATAATAAAAAAGAGAAAGTACCCTTTAGGGTACTATATCGGGCGGTATTAAATGTACCGGTTCCCAATTCTAAAAAGGGTGAATATCCTCTGCCAAATAAGGATTGGGAGACCGGGGCAATATACCTCTATATAAAAAATCGCCAAATAGTAAACTTCTTATCTATATAGTATACTGGGGATAAAATACATAAGTATACTCACTGCTACCGCCCTACGTATAAGGGAATTATAAAAGACCACTTTAGTAATAAAGGTTATAAAATAATTTAAATACTACTAATTATATAGATATATAATAACTATATAAATAGGGTAAATATAGGTAACTAATTATACGCGTATAACACGTACAGCCATCGTTACTACCGTAGATTATTTATAGTATTGTTTACTAATTTCTATCTGGGTATATTGCTTGTATTGGATCTCTTAGTAAATACTATACTAATAATATATCACTATCATCAGAAGTTATCGCAGCCAACCTCTTTCTCAATTAGTGAGAAAAGCCATTTGGTACTCCCTTCAACTAGAAGTAATAGACTATATATATAAACTTTCAAAACTAACTAATCAATGAAATCTAGGCATTCTATAGTAAACTCGCTACCTAATACTATATTTTACTTCAACGATCCCTAATATTAAATACTAGGAGAATCGCTGCAAATGAATATATAAGAACGAAATTTTCAAAATGAACTAATTATATAATATATTCGTCAGTTCGATACAGAGTTTCAACTACCTTCAGAACCAATAGCTCCCCTACCAAGTAAAACACATAAATTTTAATGAAGTTAGGGTATAGTATGTATAATATCGCAATTTATAAGCGAGAGCAATACTGGGAGGCCCACATTCGTTAACGATATTAGGAATAGCCTCACTTGGTTTAAATTATATTGGTCAATCCAATCTCTGATCTCTCTACCTAGCTTGCAGCATCCCCTACAATGTCAGAAAGTATTATATATACTAGCAAAATTGATGTATCTACATAGGCACAAATGTAAAGGTAGATCAAAGGAGGCCAACTGATTGGCCACTTCCTAGCTTGGCAAAAAAGGATAAATTTTCACCGTTAAAGGGATGGGGATGACTGTGCGTCTGAAAGCCAATCGGCGCTCATCGGGCCAGTATCACTGTGAGCTCTAGCCGTATTATTGTAGTAGCCGGTGCAACTGTAATAGAAAAATGTTAGTGCACAGCTGCCGATCAGTTCTGTCTGAGCTTTCCAACCATGATCAGTCTGTTTGTTCACCACTATTGGAGTGACAGGAGAGGCAGAAGCACGCGAGGCCCCAAAGGATGGCCTCAATGAATCGGCTCGACGCTGTTGAAGTGGAGAAGCACCTGCATTTCGTTATCCAATCAAAGATGCATGTGTCTCGTCCTCGACTGAGGGTCCTTTCCTACTTTGTGCTAGCGGACCATTGGAGACTGCGGGGGCTCAGCGTCCGACGCTAACATTTAAACTTGCACTAAAGTGAGCCAAGTGGGTCGTTGCCGGTCGACGTCACGGCCCCCCGGCTATGGCTACACCCCATGTCGAGACGTTTGCGGGGTAAAAAAGCACGAATTTGAGTGGCTGGAACTGCCGTCACTGAATCACACCAAGTTGAACTGATCTGCCATGGGTTATCGTAACCATGGACCGTGGCTTCCTGTCTTTTCGCCTCCTGCCAAGCAGCTCTGTCACAGGTGTTTCACCTGGAATGTTCTGCGAGGCAAGTACGGATTGGCATGGAAGCAATGTCAAGTTGGGCGTCCTCCTGCAGTGCTCTCCGATGGACGGTTCATCCGCCATCATCGGATATCAATCAGCTTGGGGCAGGGGACCGCGCTGGTGCTCTTTCCATGAACCCATGCGGTCATTTATCCTTGTGAATAAGTCGGCTCCCTAAGCAGGGTCTACATATCGTCGAACCTGTGTTCCTGTCCATACTTGTATGCGGCTTCCGTTTGGCCATTCCGTTCAAGGGAAATTGTCAGAGGTCTATCTGGAAGCTGCGCCCGTACACTACACCATAACAACCCAACTGCAGATCGCTGGGATTTCTGTACACTAGAGGTACAGTACTCTTCTTCTTCTCAACAACTAATACCACACATCCCTGAAATACATCATTTTAATCATCTTGGACTGTCAGCATGGACACTGGGGTTCCATCTTCTGGCGGAGATCCGCTCCGCCTGGTGGCTGCTTCTTCGTTCTCATGATGGTGTGGTCTTTGCATCCTCCTTCGCCAGCTTCCGCTCAAGCTTCTCAATCCGGCCTGGAATTCTACACTGACGGGATCCCCCAACATCCTGCCAAGTGAGCCGGCTTTGGTCTTCTTGCTGTACCAGCGTTACACGGAAGGAACCTCTTATGCAGTATGCCAATTCCATGCCGCCAATCCCATCATCTTGACAGAGGTTTCCCTAAAGATCCACACCAACATTGTACGCCGGTAGACATCATGCATGATACCCCCTTTCTAACCAGCCAATTGGCCCCTCAAACGGGAGGCCAAGGTCGTCAAAGGGATCTGAGAGATCTGGCCGACCTCGCTTACCAGGTAACCCTCCGCTCCCATGTACATCCGCCCATCACATCTGCAATAAAAGACAGATTGGCGAGGCGGCCATGCTCCTAACAACCATCACAAGCTGTGTTCCACCTTCACTGGTTCGTTGTGGCAACCTAGCCTCGATTGTATGTATGCGGCACACCACTATAACTAGACCCGCGTTCGCTCAGTTTCTGGCCTTGACACCCATGCCTGCCATTCAATTTCTCTCCAAGTTACGAATTTCGTTTGGTGTAACCCCGGCGATGGAGTCGAGAAACCCTGGCCTACCCAAGCTCTCTCTGGCACACAAATTGCGAGTTTAATGTGGCGAATTATCGGCCACCGTAATGTCCTCGGGCAGAATTCCTCGTATGTCGTCATGATTCATCTAAGTATCTCCAGCGGCAATGACACTGAATTGCGCATGTTGATATCACATTCCCCGGTTGATGAGGACGACGAGCCATGTGCAAAATAAGCCCAACGTGAATCAACAAAACAAAAAAAACACAAAAAGTAACAGCGTAGTGTAGAAGCCTAGTCTAGTGTCAAAAAGTGGCGACGAGTCAACCCCTGGCACGTTGACCAAATAGGAGAAAGCTCTTACACACCTTGTTTCTTATTGCGGCAAGCTGTCTTACTGAACATGGTTCCGTCATATTCATCCCTATTTTCCTTCATCCTGCCCCTGGCTTTACATTGTTTCTCAGATTCGTTCACCTCTTCACATGCATTATCACACGGCACAGCCTCAGCATATCCCTGTGGTGGTTGCCCAACGCTGCCTCTAGTCTCAATCCGGCCCGGGTAGATGCACGACTGTGAGCAGAATAACCGCTGTTAGCGTAGTAGTCTCTCCAACTTCCCGCTTGTCTCGTTCGAGAAACCACCTTTTCTCGCCTGTCTGGGTCTTGGATGGGCCGATGTTTAGACCGCTCTGGCGAGTGAGTTCCAATACCAGGTCCACAATCAATAAACCTGAAATGAAAAGGAACAAGAGATAGGCGGAAAATACCGTCCTCAATATATCCCGCTGCGGCCCCATGAAGCTTGCCAAGTGCCCCTTCCAAACAGACTTGGATGGCCTCAAGTACATGTGTTCGTTAATCAAGCTATAGGAATGAATTGTAGATGTCTACACGGTTTGTCTTACTTAAGGGAAAATCGTCCAAGGTTAAGATCAGATAAGAGGGGAAAATAGCAGAAAGACACTAAAAAAGATAGAAAGTAAAGATTGGGAAATCTGAAATCTGTAGCTGTTAATACATTCTTCTAGCATTCTTTCAGACATTTCTTACTTTTCTTCTTAATAACCGCGAGTTTCTTTTCTCATATAAAAAATCATCTCTTCCATATACGCTACACGCTCTGTAGTCATTCATTCATCCGATATTTACCTATGTCTAATTCGAAATTCAAACTCAACAGTAAGTGGCAACCTAAGTAGACCCCAGTATTCAACTAAGCATAACAACAATCTGCATCCGGGACTGTCTGGTACATTGTGAGATAGTAATGCTGCATCTGAGTATGTATACAGATAGTTAGGTACATAACGCTGTTTGTAACATAATTGGAGCATTGTTCTTTCTGTTCAGTGCCTAGTCAGTTCATTATAATCAAGTCCGTGGAAAAAGGGAGTGACCAAGTTATGAGAAGGTCTTCTTCTTGCAACATTACTCTCCAGGTGACATGAAGATTGAAAGGCCCATCAGAAATACCTTGTTAAGAGCACGCTGGATTTGATTATGTTTTGTGTGATGGGCGTTTGTGAAAATACATCTATTCTTATTTTTGCCTTTCCGATTCTGTGGTACGCTAGTGTCTCAGTGGTAGGAAGATGGGGGTTTTTTTTTCCGTGATTGGATAACACTACCTAACTTTGTTCGAGTCAAAACGAACTATTATAATGACAGTGCTGATGAGGCCACTTCTTGCAATTTACGTTTAGATCTTCTTCACTCTGATGTTGCGGAATCAGGAACAAGAAAACACATAACAGAGAATGAATGGAATCTTAAGTCAGCCAGATGCTTCTTTTTCTGTAAGCTCGAACGAAAGCTGAGGAAGTGGTGCCTCTTCATGAGTAGCAGGAAAGACGAAGAAGAGATACTTAGGTTCTATCTTGGAAACAAGAGTTTGACGCCATATTCGACTTGCCCACATGGGCGAATTCCATACCTAAGGTGCGTTGTGTCCGTTGAAAACATAGCGCTACAAATCACAAGAGCTATAAGAACGAAGCGTGAGACTGCCTGGACAGGTCTCACCTGGTACCAGTGTCAAGATCCTCTCCGGTACCATCAGGCTTCTACTCCTCCAGAAGGGGGAAAGAAAAAGGAAATGGAGCCACTACCTTTATAATAGCAATTCGATAACATTACCATTTGGTTTGGCACATGGACTATCTCATGATAGAAACAAGTCTCGCGTAATCAAAAGTATGATGATATCTGCATCCAATATGGCTGGTGATACAATGTGTCAAGTGCAAAGGGCGCCTCTGAGGGAGGACGGTCCCCATCATTGCAGCAGAGAACCTACCATAGATGCCGTGAGTATCAACAAAGTAAAGATACTGGCAGTGTATATGAGTCGCGTTTTCCTTGAATGCATTTGGAGTCCTGTCCCGGTCATGTTATCCCGCTCAGTTTTTCCCTCTGGTTCGGAAGGAACTTGAGGGAAATTCACAGTTTCAACTGTCATACTCGGCCTTAAAGAGACCCGAGGTTGTAAATGCTGAAAAGAACACTGGCAGAGATTTTCACCACACGAGTCACCGTATACACTGGCACTGGCATATGTAGGAAGAACGGAAGAAATTTGTTTACAGAGTGTCACGAGACGCAAAACGGGTTGCCAAGTCCAGTCCTTTCTTTCGCCAAACAATTTTTAGACATTACATAGCCATTTGACTTGCGTCAGAATTTCTTTGTTGTCCCAACCATGCCATGATTTCCATCCTCTCGCTGAATCCTAGTTTAACGCCGTTTGACCTTGACAAAGATCATCCAATGCACCTTTCATGAAATGCCAAACTCCTTTCTCCGACCAACACTGTAAACCTCTAATGAGTCCACTTCAGTAAAGCAAATCGATATGGTGAACTTCCGCCTTCTCCAGAAGACCTGGTGCTCCTCGTAACCACAACCCGATCACAAACTCCGCTTCACACCCCCACAAAAAACGCGTCCTCCTCCCTCCAAAACTGTATCAGCCCACTCTCCTCCCACTGCGGCGCTTCATGATTTCTAAACGCCTTGCTAAACACAAGACGTACATGGTAGACATCCTTCATCAGCCCCCACATCGCGAACCGCAGCGGCAGCATCTCGTCCGCGCAGAACTTGGTCTGCGTGTACACGTGAAAATCGTAGAGAGTCTGCATGGCGATGCGGAATGGACGATAAAAGTTCGCTAGTTCGTCATCGGTGACGAATGAAATAAGGCAGTCCCATTCTTGGAAAGGTGTGCCGTCTTCACGTGCTTTATTCGCGTAGTCTTGGATGTATCCGTCGGCGTCGTCGAAGAAGCGCCTGATGCCTTGAATGGCTTTTTGGAGGTTGGATAGGGCAACGTCGCGCAGCAAGGGGAAGTCGGTTTCGACGCCGGCGAGGTAGGCCATAGTGTTGTTTAGGATGATGCCCCCGTCGAGGGTGTTATCTTCGGAGGGCTTGAATCGTTCTCCCTCCATGGTGCCTGCAAGTGGGGTTTGTATTAGTTTTATTGATGTTGGAAAAGGGACTGAACTTACCCTTGTCATAGATGAAGGCCAATACATTGGCCATCCGGTCCGGGGTCGTGTACGTGCACATGTAGTGGGTTTTGGAGCCGTCCTGAAGAGCTTGTTAGTATTTCACACGTAGAGATAGTACAAGATACTTACAGGCAGTACTGTAGCCAGTTCTTTCAAAGTGCTTTGCTCTCGGGCGAGCATTTGGCGATGAGCAAGGAATGGCCTATGTCCGCAATCGATCCTGACATCCCAATCACGGGGCCCCCTCCACAAGCTTTATCAGTCGGGGTTAGTTACACAAATTTCGGGAAATGCGCAGCCACGGGGCATGGGAGACTTACTTGATCTCCTTTCGGTCGTGCTGCTTGATGTATTCAGCGATTCGCCGCTGTTGGTTGATGGCTTCCGGCCACAATCCCTCTTCGCCTGGTTCATCGCAGTGGATGGCGAAATCTGCTGATCCGAGAAAATTGGAGGATCGATTGGGGGTTGCTGCTGTTTTGGTCCATTGCTCGGCGTCAAGAGCGCGGCAACGACGCCCGTACCCATAAGGATTACCCATTGTTGGTAAGGAGCTTTTGGAAAGATTATGAAGAATATGTCCGTGATGGTTGTATTGAGGGTGTTTAGCAAAACCTGTTGCAAAGCTGGTCGACGGCGACTGGCCAAACTGATAGCGAGCGGCGAGTGTGGGAGACTGGTTGTGAAGAGAATGGGAAGAGTTTTCGAAACTAGGGAAAGTTGTGCTCCGTTGTCTTGGTCTTATAGTAGTAGGAGAGCGCCAGTTTTGGGCACCCCAAGCTGCGGCCTTCGGCTTGGTTGGAGCATTCCGTATGCATGGTAATACTTTGACTGGGCTTCGTCCGCGGGGCGATTCGACGTGGAATTTTTTTCCTTGGTTTTGTCCACCAACAGCTGCATCTCCGCATGCATTCTTGCTGCGTGTGCTTTCCTTGCTGTGTCCGCCACCTTGAGGCGCTATCGAACATCGCTCGATTGTAGAAACACTCTTCTTCTCCGGTTCCTGACTTTCCTTGGACGCCTTTTGGTGGTGAGGAGTGTGCTGTGCCTTGATAGTCGAATCTGACGTTGCCGCTTTCGTTTCTGGATGAGGATTTCCTTTCTTCTTTTTCTTCTTCGGACTTTTCTTATGAGTCTTCTGAGTATTCTTTTCCGGGCTCTTCTGAGGATTCTTCTGCCCACCTATCGGCGCGCTCTTCTGCGGAATTTTCTGGGGACCTTTTTCAAGCTCTTGATGTGCAGTCATCTCCCCTCCTGCCTTCTGCAAATCCACCTGCGGTCCTTGCTTTTCCTTCTTCTTAACCACCAAAGTGGATATTCTTTCACCAGTTACAGCTTGAGCGTAAGATATTGGAGCCAGTTTGACTTTAGCCACGGACTGTGAGAGCTGCGGGTAAAACTCTCGTGACGGGGCGGTTATAGAATTCGTATGCAGAGTAGACTTTGCTTGCTCTGGCTGCTTGAAAATAGGCACTGCTGGTGGGGGTTGCTGCACAGTTGGCTTCGAAGGAACAGATGTGACCGAAGGTTTGAGAGGGGCTGCGGCCTTCAGGGACGGAGTCGGAGTCGGAGGGGGCGTCGGCTTGACCTCTTTTCGTGCGCCTTGGTCCCCCCGGAGAGCGCCTGCATACGATAGTGGCTGAAGCCGCGCTGATTGGGTTTTCTTCTCCATCACCGACGACGATGACCTGCGGACGATGGGTTAAAATCAGAGTTGATTTCGAGGTAGCCACCAGATGTTGCCCTGCGGGAAATGTGAATATGCGGCCAACGGTGGTTGGTGCTAAGGATAGCGAAGAAGGTGGGGGAAAGAAGTAGTCAGCTGGGCGTTGCGATATCGAAGATGGGTGAATATCGGGTGAGTGAAGGGTGAGTGAAGGGCGAGAGGTGCCAACTGGAAAGTGGTCCTCAAAGGCGGATGTAATTTTTAGTTCCCTAAAACCAACAACCAACTGCAAATCATGGCCTCAGCAGCCATGGGCAAAAACACAAAGGTGATCGTCCTTATTGTAGAATCTAGGTTTTGCGAAGAAAGCGGAGAGGTATGGTGGATGTCCTGTCGTTGGATTTCGTTGTCGCGAACAAACTTCCTCCGCACGAAAGAGACGAGGTTCCTGACGCAAGGCGACAGACAGTGAGTGTCACTGTCCGCAACCAGTTCGCGTTCGAAGCCCGAAGTACTGATTAACCGGCGCAATGGAGCCGCAGCGAGCAGGTGCTACCATTCTTCCGCATTTTTATTTTGTATATCTTTCTTTATCGTTGAGCATCGCTTCGCCTGGGCCTCTGGAACGCTAGAGGCACCAGGCATATCTGATCTAACATGAGGAAATTCTTCAAATCTTTGATTGCTAAGAATAATAGAACATGGGCGTAGAGAAGATCGCGCAAGTATCATACCAGGAAGTAGATTCATCATTTGGTCTGATGTTATGGGCACAATCGACCCACCTTCGTCTCCCCAAGCATCCTGCCGGGCGTCGACGAGCAGTTCGGTCTCGACTCGAATGCCACGACAGCCGAGGTACTTCGAGAATGGAAGTGCGGGTGTCAAGGAGCCGCGATATATATCAACATATATTGCGCAGAGGGATCACGATTCAGGATGACGGGCGAAGGAGCTGGCGGTTCTGATCGAGTCATGACAATGGTATCTTCAATTCAATTTCATTAGACAAGACAAAGCTGCTATGATGTGTGTGAGGAATTGGGGTCAAAAGCAACGCTAAATCGATCATGAGGTGTGGAACAAAAGAAACTAGTACGCAGCATAGAAGGCTTCCCAACCGACCACATCAATTCTTTTCTATGACTTGATCATGAAAATCTGCAAACATAGACAAAGTTAGTGATTACATTCATGAACGGGGGGTTTTACCAGAGTTGATGTACTGACCTGGTTGAGAGCAGCGCTGTCCGTGAAAGCCATCTTTTTCTGCGCAATGAACCTTTGCCTAGCCAAGAATCGGGTTGAAGATGTAACAGTAGGCGTAGAAGTGCCGCTTCCACCTGGTGTGCTCGTCTCTGTTTCAGCACCGTCTTTCATCCTCTTCTGAGCTTTCGATTTGCTGTCTTCACTTTCTGTGGCAGAGTCTGATAGCTCCTTTTCCTTGCGCTTCTTCTCTTTCTTATCCTTCTTCTTGTCTTTCTTCTCCTTCTTCTCCCTCTTCTTGTCCTTTTTCGGCTTCTTGGTCTCCGTAGCAGACGATTCTACGTCATCTGAAGAGTTCTCTTCAGACTGTTTCGCGTCTTTCAGCTTCTTCTTGTCCTTCTTGTCCTTCTTTTCTTTCTGGTCCTTCTTCTCCTTTTTGTCCTTCCTCTCCTTCTTCTTTGACCTAGAGGACTCGCTGTCTGTTTCGGCTTCGGTGTCGGTCTTCCGCTTTTTCACTTTCTTGTCCTTCTTTTCTTCCTTCTCGTCTTCCTCGTCGCTGTCCGCCTTCCTCTTCTTGGATTTGCGTTTTGTGGGCTCGGCGTCCTTGGTGTCCTGAGAGGGAACTGTCTCCACTTGTTGGTCGACAGTATCGCTCTGTGGTACGCCGTCCTCTTCCGTCACTTTTTCCTTGACCACGTCACCAACCAACCAGCCGCCTCTGACAAAGCGGATCGTTCCAATCTTTTGTTCCAGATAGTGGTTGCGCATGTGATTCTCGCGCTTCTGCTTCTCGGCTTCCAGAACATCCTCACTCTTGCCGTTCAGTCGCCCGAGGAGATGTTGAAAATCAAAGAGGCCGGTGCACTCGTCGCCATTGTTTCGTTTCGCGCCGAGACCGAGGTTGTCGTCCTTGAGCGTGACCTTGATGTGTGACGAGCTGGCTTCCGTGTGATGTACGGCATGCGCAGCATCTTTGGCGCCCAGGAACTCGCCGGGCTGCCAACCTTGGGCGCGAAGGATTTTTTGGCCGAAAGTGGTTTCGTTACGGGACCATTTCGTGTTGTTGGGATCGGTTCCCAACTTGCGCTTGCTATTGAAGTTTCGCGATTAGCACGCAGTAAACAAAAGGAGCACAGCCACTCAAGATATGCGCTCACTTCTTGGCAGCGGCGAGGCCCATGGTTGCTCGACGTCGTTGACGAGGCTCTCAGCTTGTGTGCTGAGTCGTCAAAGGTCAATGGGCTTGGTGTACAACTGAACTTTCGGAAATCGGGGCGCCCTGTCTGTGCTACGGCATTCAATTTTTTGGCGGGGGCCTTGCGATCCCATCAAAGATCTGCCAGCTTTCACCGCCCGAAAATTCCACATAGTTCAGGAACTACGGTTCGTTGCTGCAGGGGAGGTGCCTGTCACTTGCTCCTTCCAGATGTATTTATGGAGAAACACACTTGCCTGCCGACTTCCGGGGACATCAATCGATCGAGAGATTTGGACGAACTTCCTTCTGTTCATCTGACACTCCTCTTTCTCGAGTTGTCAACTATGATTCAGTCTTTGACCCAATACTAGAACTGTTTCGAATGCTAAGTTCAAGGGAAACATCCTGGAGCAAACATGGCACCCTCGGCGAGCACCGCCAAGTCCAGGCCAAGAAAGTCGACTAACACCGTACTTGACGATTCTGGTTCCGACGACGACTACCAAGCATACAATCTGCGACTCCAGGAAGCCAGCGCGGCTAGAGCACGTCTCAAAAAGGTATGAACATCAATCAGCAACCACGAGCAAAAATCCGGTTCCTGTGAACAAAAACATTCATTTAGTTCACTTCTTGATTTCTTTTGATTTCAGGCGAGAGAAGAGCGTGATAAGAAACGCAAGGCCTTGCTCTCAGCCTACCAAGACGCGCTCACGTCCATCCAAGACCGCGTAAGAAAATCAGTTTCCAAGTATCATGATCTCCAGTAAGTTGAACCGGTAGACCGCTCAGTTTGTCCCAACGGCGCATTCTCTCAAATAAAATTTCGCCCTTCCACTGTTGTTCTAATTCTGGTTTATCCATGGTACTTGCAGCTCAGCCATGCACATCTCCCGTCTGTTAAGACTCAAGGAAGCAGTAGAAGCCAGCGATCAAAAGCAGACCGCCATTGCCAAGAAGCTGGCCGATGTGCAGCGCATCATGAGCAACCACAGTATCCAGCTCTGCGCCTTGTACGAGGGTCGTCAAAAAGACTTGGCTACTATGTTACCCCATGCCAAGCCTGAGAAGCCTGCGGAGGATGGCGCTGCTGCTGCTGCTACTTCTGAGGTGGACAGGTCGTCGGGCCAGTAGCTGCTGCCTGAGGGTGCGCAGGGATTCATGGTCTCGAAGGAAGCTTCGTCAAAGTCGGCGGCTGCTGATGGTGGAGATTGGTATGAGGGAGGAGTGGGAGGCTGCTAAAGCTTTGTGCTGAACTCGATGATGGTGACAATAAATTCGTCACTGTGTGTTGGGTGGTCGCATTTGACGGGCACAGTATTCTCGGATGGTAATCTCGTATGCTCTGGATTGGGAAAAGAGAACAAGTAGAACAGAGTGAGAACTGCTACAATCAGCAAGACAAGATAGTTCGTACACCACCGGGCTTAGCTAAAGGCCATGGAGATCGCCACAAGATCGATTTCCCGGCGGCGTGTGAAGAAACGTAGGAACGTAGCAAGGACCGTATAAGCTCCAGCAATCCATATTCGAGGCCGTCTCTCTCTCCTCTCCTTTTCTATGTTGTAGTTGTACAAATGTATGCCGTGGTCAGATTTGAGAAGCATGAGAACGCCGCTTGGGGGTGCTGCCGCAGCACGGGTGTGGTTATAGTAGTATTATACATGGATATTGTGTTAAAGACTCGTCATGTCGTCGGTCATTACTGCTGTTGCTGCTGGTCGCTCGCTCAACTCGATGGCAACGAAGGTTACATTTAGACCTTGAAGCCGAAACCAGCCATGCAGGCGCGGTACTGGTCTATCGTCGACACGCAGTCCTTCTGGGGGTCATCGGACTTGGAGAAAAGCATGCAATCATCGCGCTTGGCCTTCTCTTCCTTGCACACGCAGCAGGGCTGTTTTTTTGTATTTGTTTTTGTTTAGTTTTTGTTTCTCAGTATTGTCGTTTGCGTACAGCTTTCGGTGAGCTAGCTGGTTCATCGGGGGTCGGAGGCGCACCTTGGGCTTCGCGGGAGCATCACTGGAAGGAGTCGCAATTTGCGCCGGAGCGGCGGCAAGGGTGCCGCCGGAAGCTGTAGTAAATAAGCGCATTGATGGTTAGTCACCGCGGACAGCGAGAGCGCTTTATGCCGAAACAGTCTGTTGGTTATGCAAAGGTACTTACGAAGGGCGGTAAGGGAAAAGCTTTGGGAGGCCATGGTGAATGATAGTATGTTATGTTGAATGGAAACAAGCAAAAGAACAAGGAGCGAGCTGTTGTTGTGCAGGATTTCAACAACAACCGACGTCCCTCAGAATATTTCGATGAATGGTACGTACCAATTGATTTGTCAATGTTGCTTTGAAACCTTCCACAGCCGACCGTCCGGTGCTACCGGGCCATTTTAGCGCTGCATGGGTACATGCCCCAATACCCGCACGCCAAGCCGGTTGGCGTCAGTACTGCATAGTAGATCCATAAGTCACCTGATCACCCCAATCGTCACCCGTAAGGGAAGTGTTTTACGTGAAATAAGACAATTCATTATGTACTTGCTGAATACTTTCAGACAGTGCCCCTGGCTCAGTGGTTGAGTGATGTTAGATGGTGGTCCTGCTTGATTGCATCTTGCTAAGTGGCCCAGGGTCCCGATGAGGTGAAGTTTCCAGTTTGAATCCTGGCTCAGTCCTTCCATAGAGGTACAATCTTTTTGCGCATATTCACTGCTGCTCATCTTGTTATGGAAGCATCGATCCTCCCGTCGCCAGAGCATCTGAATTCCTTTTATCTATTCATTTTACCTTGGTTGCAGGATTACACTCCCGTAGAGTTGATCGATCGAGGTTATGAAGGCTTCGACTGCAGGGTCGCAGGAAATCCGTAGGGGTAACAAACAACACAGCCCTTCAATTTCTATTGTAAGACAGTCTTATATCCACCTAGACCACCACACCTCTCGAATCCTCCATCCTCTCCGCCCTTTTCTTAGGCCTCTCAAGCCGCCCAACAAATAAAAGCCCATCCTTCATAACCCAATCAAATCCCCTACCATCATCAATCTATACTTCTCCACCCCTTCCCTCAACCTCACCAGAACCCCCGCAGCCAACATCTTCGTCCTTTCCTCCTCCCCGCCCTCATCACCACCTCTCAGCCCTTCAAACACACCCGCAACCCATCCCTCCGTCTCCACCACCTCCCTCCCCAACTCCTGACAAACATCCCTCATCCGGTCCTCATTCACATCCAGCAGTGTCAACAAGCCAAACAAGATCGCCTGCGTGATGCCGACGTCTCCCACAGCTTGTGCGCGCACGCTCGTGCTTAGCAGCAGCCGCCACAGCTCTCCTGTCATCTGTGGAAGAGCGAGGGTACTCGGCCCCGCGGCGTGGAGCAAGAGGGCGAGGGTCTTGAGATAGAGGGCTAGTAGGAACGGCTGGAACAGGATGCTGCGGATCCGGGACACTGATGAATGTAGCGCTGCTTGGAAGCGGGCCGTGAGAGGGTTGAAGAAGGACGTGGAGATGATGTGAGCAGTGGTGTTGGGAATGGCGCGGATGCGCGGCTTGGTGCGGGACTTGATTTTGATTTTGGGGTTACTGATGTGTTGTTCTTCTGATGTTGCTGCGTTATTGCTGTCGTCATGGTCGGGAAGACGGGACTTGAAGGTAGAGAGCTTCAGCACATCGGGCCCGGTGGCTGAGTCGGCAGCGGCTGCTGAAAGGGGCGCAAGGAAGCTCGACGTGATGGATGTTGCTACGCTTTCGAGCGCGTTGTGAGGCAGAGGCTTCAATGATGAGGAGGAGCTTTGGTAGGCATTTGAAGGGCCTTGGCTGATGAATAGCCTCTCTATCTTCTCTGGGAGGCTTTTAGAAGGGAAAGATGCAGCTGCTGCGTACTCGGATGTTTCGAACCCGGCAAGTTCATGGGCACTGAGACCCAAGACGGTGAGGATCAAAGATCTCTGAGACACCGAGTAGTCACCGTCAAAGAAGGTCTTCGCGAACCACGGGCCCATGAGCTGGGGCTGCGTAACGACGATGGCAATCATTGCTTGCAGTCGCAAGTCGTTAAATTTGTCCATCTCAAACTTATCCTGGAGACCGACGAGTAAAGATGCGAGTTCCTCGGCGTGATCAGTAACCTCTGTGCCATAATTCGCCTTTCGTCGGATGAGCGTTGGGGCGGTAACGAGTGCAAGCTTCTGGCGATCATAATCATCGGTGTCGCGGAGATACCTGATGAGATCTCTAATATAAACTGGTGCCTTTGCCTTGTCTCTCCTGACCAATTCTGGATCGTCATCCGAGTCTTCGGCATCTGAGTCGGGCTTCCTATACCCAACAACATCATCCTGCTCGCTAAGGCTCTCATCGCTCAGTTCTTCGATGATAAAACCTTGGGTCCGAGGCTGTGTTGGTGCTGGCTTGTGGGAAGGTCTCTTGGAGCTCGTCCTTTTTTGTGTAAGCTCTTGAGGATTGAGTAGCGGATCCCATGAGCCAAGTGTGTCCTGTATCAAAACAAGACTCTTGTACCACTTTCCATCTGGCACCTCCATTTCTTCGACTTGGAAGTTCAGGCGTTTATCACCCTTATCAACGAGACTGGAAAGCCCTTCGCCAATAACCATGCCCAGAAAACGAGCCCTCTGATTTGATGACGATAGCCTGTTGGAGATGGCATTTAGCCATGGGCTTGATCTCATTAGCAGTGTGAGTTTCAAGGGCGAGACCTTGTGGACGTATCCAGCGCTCAGGAGCAGCACCTGCGCATGCACTTTGAAACCGTTAGTTACGCTCAAGAAGAGGAAGAAAACACCATTTTCAAGCTAGAGCCAACCTTCTTGTTGCACTATAGGAGAGTGCTTGATGTATAGCTGATCTCCAATCTGGGCAATACTTTTCTCAAGCACACTGACGATTGAGTCTCTATCCTGAGAGACGACTGCCACCACCGCTCGTCGGATACCAATAGAGTCGCCAAGTCCAGCGCCAGACGAACCTGTTAGCCACTCAACGAGGTAGGCTATTCTCTCCGGATCATTCTTTGTAATTGCGCTGATTGCACCGGCCACTGCGGATATCATTTTATTGCTGCCTTCGGTATCACTCGTGCCTAGCCGATTAAGATAGTCCTCGGCGAAGGTCTTCAGCACCGAAAAGAGAACTTTACGCTGCTCGCTTCGAGGAACATTGCCCAGCAGGAGCCCAAAGCGCTCATTGTCAGCCCCTTGAGCAATTAGCAACCTGGTAAGGACACATTTCATGGCCGTATCTGCCTCCAAGTCAGTCATGGTTTGAGAAGCCAGAGCTATTGGCGAATGTCTTACCCGAGTGCCCTAGTCGTAGAGCCTTCAAAAACAACTCGGAACAAAGCTTCGTCTCATCTGATGTCGGCGAGGTTAGTTGCCACTTGACGATATTTTGGCTCAACCACTTGGTATATTCTGGCCCATTTGCTAGCCAGATGTTGTTAACGTCGATTTCCGCCTTGTGCCCCTTTGCATGTTCAATAGCCTCTGCGGTCAGTGAAATGATCCGACCACTGCCAAAGGTCGAAAGCAATTCTTGCGAGAGCATTCTGGTGTTGAGGTTCCCGTTCAGTGTTCTTGTAGCTGACTTCCAAATGCCACGTATGGAATCATTGCCTTTTAGTAACAGGCATACCAGGTTGAGAAGGACTGCCAGATTGATTGCGATGTCCGGTCGCTTGGACTTGCCATCGCCGGATTTTGCTTCTTGTAACCATGCCCTCAGACGCACAATAATGGCATTGACCCCTGTCAGACTGCGAAGACAAGCTAGCAAGAGTCCCAAGGCCGAAGACTTGGTTTCATGGGAGTCTTCGTTTAGCAAAGTCCAATAGTTCGGGACGATTTCTGACACCAGCACCTGAACTAGCTTTGCGGTCATAGGACTTGGTTCCTTGATGCTGAATGTGGACCCGGCTAAATCCTCATGGCTGAGGAATCGCAAAGTAGCGACGAGCTGGTCGTAGTTAGGTTCATGTCGTAAAACCTCGAGGGCTTCCTCGGGCGAGTTCAAGGACCTCTGACCAGGAGATTGGTTCGGCTTTACTGTTTCCTTTTTGAGGCCAACTTCCTGGAGCAGAGGTTCGTTGGGGTTCGCACTCAGGCGGGAGGTGCTGATGGGCGTCAAGAGGCCGTTCATCTCAGATATCTGTAATGATGTCAGTTGGTGATAAGTACTTTGGAATACACAGGCTGAGCTTGAAGTGATATTCAAACCCCGGAACGTTACCTACCTCTATCGTTTGACCGATCGAAAGAGGACGGAATTGGAAGGAAAGTGGAAATTCCGTTTCGTATCGACGACATTTCACTGTAGTTACCTGCGTCAAACGGAAAGCAACAGGAGGGGATGATGGCGTCGGTGTTGCTGCTAAGTGGGCCGCTAAGTGCTAACTGATCCGTTGTGCAGGTAGTCGTCCCTTCCCTGTAGGGGCCCTGAACTGCACTTTCGGGCACTCTCCGTTGCCGCTGTTGGTAACCTACAGGGTCTCCTTTAACAGGGCGGCAGGAGCTATCCACTCACCATCTCCGAACCTGAAGTCCGGGCCCGCCCGCAAGTGGAACTATGGAAGCTTCCCTCCTCCAGTTCCGTTTGTTTGTTGTCCCGTCAACTCACCCCTCGTATTGTACATTCAACCTGCAACAATTTCGTTGTGAGCCGCGACTAATCAGCAAATATCATCACTAGCATTTCTCATCCTACCCGCCGGCCTCCCCTTTTATTATTTCACCAGCGAAGTCTCCCCTTGTAGCCATAAACTAGTCATGTCAAGTCCAGAAGTACTCCCAGACTCCGAAGCCAAAAGATGGTAGGTGTTACGCGCTCTCGATCGTAACTCAAGAACACCCCCTGGATTTCATATCTTCAGGGCATGAGTCCCAGCAGCTAACCCGCCACCTTTACCATAGGAAGTATCTCAACAATGTCCGAACACGGCCAGGCGCATTCGTGGATCCGGAAGAGTTTGATGGCTCAACGGTAGTAGAGAACATGAACAAAATCAAGATCTTGCAAGTCATCCTTTCAACTGGCAGTACACCAAGTGTATGCGTATATCAACCTATTCAAGCAGAAGCTGATACCTTTTCCAGAGTCATGTTAGTCTCAGCTTAATGATTTGACGGGTCATAGTTATGAGAACTAACGGCAAGGTAGCGGAGCTGGAGGACTGGGTTGTGAGATCCTTAAGAACCTCGCCCTTTCCGGGTTCAAGGACATTTCCGTCATCGACATGGGTCGGTTGTCCTCTATAGATATATCGCCATGTCAATGATAGCTGACCTGGAAGCCTAGATACGATCGACATCTCCAACCTTAACCGCCAGTTTCTCTTCCGTCATGCGGACGTAGGGAAATTCAAAGCCGAAGTAGCTGCCAAGTTCGTTGAGAGAAGAGTTAAAGGCGTTAAGATCACGCCATATAACTGCAAGATACAGGACTTCGATGAAGACTTCTACCAGCAGTTCCAGATTGTAGTCTGCGGACTGGACAGCATCGAGGCACGCCGATGGATCAACGCCACCTTGGTCAACATGGCGAATTGTGAAAACCCTGATAGCATGAAACCCCTCATCGACGGCGGCACCGAGGGCTTCAAGGGCCAAGCCCGCGTTATCCTACCGACCATGGGCTCTTGTATCGAGTGCCAGCTGGACATGCACGCTCCCCGAGCCGCCGTTCCTCTTTGCACACTTGCCAGCATCCCCCGCCAGCCGGAACACTGCATCGAATGGGCGCACGTCATCGCTTGGGACAAGGAGAAGCCGTTCCCGCAGCTCGACAAGGACGACCCGGAGCACATCACCTGGCTCTATCAGAAAGCCCTCGAGCGAGCAAAGGAGTTCAACATATCGGGCATCACTTACTCTCTGACGCAAGGCGTGGTGAAGAACATCATCCCGGCCATCGCGGCCACGAACTCGGTCATCGCCGCGGCCTGCTGCAACGAGGCACTCAAGATCGCATCCAGCTGTGCACCCTTTTTGGGCACCCCCGGCGAAGGCGAGCCTAACTATATGATGTATTCCGGTAACGACAGCATCTACACGTATACGTTTAAGCACGAGCAAAAGGAGGACTGCCCCGTGTGCGGCATGACGGCAAGGGTGCTCAAGGTCAACCCCAAGTGGACGCTCGAAGAGCTCATAGAGTCGTTCGCTACCCTTCCTGAGGCGCAACTGAAGAAGCCGTCGGTGCGGGCTGAGGGCAAGACGCTGTACATGCAGTTGCCCCCGAACTTGGAGGAGCAGACGCGGCCAAACTTGGAGAAGACACTTGAGCAGCTTGGGCTGACGGAAGGTACTGAGCTCGCCGTTACTGATCCAGCGTTTGTAGGCGTGGTGTTTAACTTCAGCCTCAAGTTTGCATGATGGTCCCCAGACATGAACGTATCATGATAACCTGGCCTGGTTTGCCTGGACTTTGTTTATGCTATTTAGAGGCTGGATTTGTGAATTACCTACAAGCGGGAGCGTTGCACAACACGCAGCGGGGAATGACCCGCAAGATGGCTATAGCGATGAGTTAGCACCCTATTCAATTGAGTAGATGTCAATACAAGATATGATTAACAGTGTGCTTCAGCAACATGCTACGCAGTACGTAGCCAAAAGACGTCATGTCAAACGAGGGGTATTGTGTTTGTGCAAGACAGTGTGGTTTATGACTCCTGTGCACCGACATGTCTATGATAATTAACAAGCAGAAACCATTAAACTAAAGCTGGCCACCAATCCCTAGCCTCCATGACGCCGTTCCAATGTTCTTTTGTATGGTTACAAGAGAGATGGGTATCCTCACGACCTGATCCGTGTGATTTTTCCTCTTTCCCTGTGTGATTCCACATGATGATCGCTCAAATTCTGTCTCAACCACCATACATAGAAATAACCTCACCTCTTCTTCGTGCTGTCTTGAATCCCCCTGCCCCTGGTGCAATGTTTACTGTACCATGTTCACCACCTGCTTCTCGAACCTCTTCGCCTTCTCCTTGAGGTGGGCGATCGATTCGAGGAAGATGGCGTCGCTTTCCCACTGCCCCGTGCTCTCCACCAGGTAAATGAAGTGATCCCTCCTTCGGCCCAGCTTGACCTTGTCCTTGAACTCGTCATGGCGCAAGCACTCTCTGCTGACGGTGTCACGCATGGCGTCCAGGACCACGGCCTTGAGCTCGCCCTCATGGCCCTCATATCCGCTACCCTTCTTCTTCGCCTCCTCCTTGGTGACCTTCTCCAGCCCGATGACGCCCTCGGGGAAGCACTTCTGGAATTTCTCGGCGTCGCGGCCCAGGATCGGCTCGAGAATGGTGATGGTCGGCATGAGGCGGTACGAGGCTGTGGCGACGGGGGAGAACTTGGCGTGATCGGACCCAACGCCCTTGTGCATGTGCATCGTCAGATCGATCTCCTGTCCCGGCCGCATCTTGGCGACGAGGATGTCGGGGTTCGTGGGCCGGATGGCGTTCTCGCCCGAGAAGTACTTGGCTTGCCGGCCCTTGGGCACGAACTTGATGTCCTTGGCGTAAACATGGGCGTTGTGGTAGAGCTCCTTGGGGTCCTTGCTGTCCGCCGGCGCGTTCTCGTTATTCTCGCACTTGACCTTGAGCTCGAGCTCGACCGTGTTGTAGTCGCACGGGGTCTCGCCCTTCTTGTACCACTTGAGGAAGTTGTGGAGGCCTTCCTTGCCGCCGGTGAACGGGATCAGGCCCAGGCGGTGGCCAAGAACTTCGTCCTGGATCACAGAGGTGTTGTTCCACATGAAAATGTCCTCGATGGCCAGCGTGGGGATGTCGGCAATCATGATACGGCGGAAGGCATTGGCGATAGAGGCGTCGACGCCAATGAGTGAAAATTGAGCCTCGTAAGGGTCGTTCTGGTGGAACTCTACGCGGACACTTTCGCGGAACTTTTCGATATCCCAGGAATGGTCCTCGCCGGGGTAGAAGCCGGGAAAGTCGGTGGATGTGACATTGGTGACAGTTTCCGCGTTGATATGGACAGTCTGCAGAAGAAAATGCCATCAGTTTCTCGTTGCATGCGCTGCGCAGCCTCGACTGATGACGATAGGCGGCAAGCCGGTGATTAACGTACGTTACGCTTCTCAACCTCTTCTGGGCTCGGGACCTTTGTCCTGACGGGCACGGCGGTCTGCTTCTTTGAGGATCCCATTGCGACGATATGTGTAAATAATGCTCTAGGTTGGCGGGGTTACCCTCTCGCTTTCACACGCAGGTCGGCACGCCGGGCAAAATCTTGGGAAAGAGAGCTCTGCGCTGTGCGACGGGCGATGGAGCGGCAGAATTTTTCCCACGAACGGGAACTTTTTGACCGCCTTTGCAGGAGCGCGGCTGATTGGTTGGCTGAGATCTTATCGCGTTGCAGGCAGTGGCGGAGAGGTTCAGGGACTGCCTGGCTCAACTTGATGCTCATGGGCCTCGGCGGAGACAATTGTGGACAGGACCGCAATGACTGGGACAAGGCCAACAGGGTACATGGCGGGCCATAACCTCTGTCAGGTTACCGTCGACTTCGACCATCGACGAAACCTGAGGCGAAGAGAGAACGCCGGATCTCCAATTACAAAGGGTTGCGCGGGTATGATGGAAGACACTTCGACTAGATATATCTGCATGTCGAGGGTATCAGTTCCAAATCCACAAACTTGTAGCTCTGGCGAGGGAAAGACATCAGGGCTTCGAATTCCATGTCCACATCGAGGTTTGTCGCGAGTAAGTGACATGTTGACTAACTCCACTCTTAACTCCAGCACATCTTGGAATCTCTGTGGTCATAAAGTTATAAGTGTGGACATGCTCTTCCATCCTCCTCTTCCTTTCTGCGAAAACCTCTCCCTAAAATGCCCAAATTCCAACTTACACTGCCTCGAGGCTGCCTAGCGAAGGACCGAGGCTTCTACGACCAGCCAATCAGATGACATATAGCGCGGCTGCCCTCCATGGGACCGCTTGGCGGCACGGCTGCCGGATAAATGCCTCGGCCGGCAACAGTCGAGACGGGAGCTTGCCCGCCGTGGGGGGAACGTTGTACCAGAAGAAGCTTGGTCTCTGACTGCTCAACTGATGGCTTTTGATTGGGTTGAATTTCACTGACCAACTGACGGCAACGATTTGAGGAGTTCGAAGCTGGGGCGTTGCCGCGGCCGTGGTCTGGGAAAGTCGACTGGACGTCAACTGAAGCATCTCCACCACCACCTTATTACTGCTATCACTAGCATCGCAAGCTCACTGCGAGCCATTGAACCGCCGGAGAAGAGGCCACATCCAGCGGCGAACCTCCTCCTCTTTGTCCTTCGTCGCTGTCAATCCTGCGAATCTATCCATCCCCGCTCCCTGACCTTCTGAGCAACCAAAAGCAAGCGGCAGTCCCACAAACAACAATGGCGATGACGTTGTTCCGACTCGCTGGGCGCAATGCCAAGCGCCATTGTATGCGCCAGAGCGCCCCCATCGCTAACAACCTCAACTCGACTCGCGCCTTTTCTGCCTCCGCTCTCAGACGGTATGCCGAGCCCAGCTACGAGGGCCAAGGAACCCGTCTGGTCCCTACCGGCGACGACTTTGCGCCCAACGACGATCTGTACGGCTTGGAGGCCTTGAAGGCAGACGGTGCCCCGAGAGCGCCTCCCCAGGATCATATCCTGGCCCGCAAGGTGCGGCACTACACGGTCAACTTCGGTCCCCAGCATCCGGCCGCTCACGGTGTGTTGCGCCTGATTCTCGAGCTAAAGGGTGAAGAGATTGTCCGTGCCGACCCCCACGTTGGCCTGCTGCATCGCGGCACCGAGAAGCTGTGCGAGTATAGGACCTACCTTCAGGCGCTCCCTTACTTTGACCGTCTTGACTACGTCTCCATGATGACCAACGAGCAATGTTTCGCTCTGGCCGTTGAGAAGCTGCTCAACGTTGAGATCCCCGAGCGTGCCAAGTGGATTCGTACAATGTTCGCTGAGATTACCCGTATTCTCAACCATCTCATGTCTGTTCTGTCTCACGCCATGGACGTCGGCGCTCTCACGCCTTTCTTGTGGGGTTTTGAGGAAAGAGAGAAATTGATGGTAAGTGTTGATTTGTATTCTTCGTTAGATATCGGCGGTTTCTATTAGATGGGTATATGAAAATCAATGCGCGAAACTCTACGCGAAAGGATCTGGGAATACCATGCAGCACCCAACCCCAGCAGCTTAATCTAATATGTCAAAAACCTTAGGAATTCTACGAGCGAGTCTCTGGTGCCCGTCTCCATGCTGCCTACGTCCGCCCCGGAGGTGTCCACCAAGATATCCCTCTCGGCCTGCTCGATGACATTTACATGTGGGCCACGCAGTTTGGCGACCGCATCGACGAAACCGAGGAGATGCTTACGGACAACCGCATCTGGATAGACCGCCTGCGCGGCATCGGCGTAGTCTCTGCTGCCGACGCCCTGAACCTGTCCTTCACGGGCGTCATGCTCCGCGGTTCCGGCGTGCCATGGGACATCCGTAAGAGCCAGCCGTACGACGCCTACGACCAAGTCGAGTTCGACGTTCCCGTTGGCATCAACGGCGACTGCTACGACCGGTACCTGTGCCGCATGGAGGAGCTCCGTCAGTCACTCCGTATCATCCACCAGTGCCTTAACAAGATGCCCGCTGGTCCCGTCCGTGTCGAAGACTACAAGATCTCCCCGCCGCCCCGCTCCGCCATGAAGGAGAACATGGAGGCCCTCATCCACCACTTCTTGCTGTACACCAAGGGCTATGCCGTCCCGCCCGGTGACACCTACTCGGCCATCGAGGCCCCTAAGGGCGAAATGGGCGTCTATGTCGTCAGTGATGGTTCCGAGAGGCCGTATCGTGTGCACATCCGCGCTCCCGGCTTTGCTCATCTGGGTGGCTTTGACCACTTGTCGAGGGGCCACATGTTGGCTGATGCTGTGGCCGTTATCGGCACAATGGATTTGGTGTTTGGTAAGTTTCAACTCTCTTCTTTGAAATTTCAAGTGGTTTAGTAGTTAACCCTTTTATTCCTACTTCCAGGTGAGGTCGATCGGTAATGTTGAAGCTCTCCGGCTGCAAACTTTGTGACATGGAACGCAACGCATGGGATATATTTTTTGATGAATGAAGCACAGCAACTGCAGATATTGAAATGAGCGGATAAGCAGGCCGCGCGCGATGTTTTACCTTTAAAGAACGCCTAAAGGAGAAACAGTACTTTGGGTTTTGCTGATAAAGGTGGGACGTTTTGACTTCTTCTCTTATCCCCTGGCAAAACGGAACAGGAAACATAGATAGATGCAGACTAGACCAGCAACAGAAGAAGAATAGCCATTTCAGTCGTCGGGTCTTCAAAAGAAAGACTGAAGTGAAAGGATACTATGCTTTGGTCTTTTGTCGTGGAGTTGTGTGCAACACGTCGTCCATTCAATATTTTTTGGGGGTTGGTGTAGTTGTGCCAGTCCTTGATGTGCATAGTTGTGTGGTGCTGTGAGACGAGATATTAAAAAGGCAACGCGACGACTTCTTGTTGTTACAATAACTTCTCAGCCGCCACTGGACTGGCTGCCGTAGAACATTGTCGTGGAGCGAACATTCGCTCTCTGTCGACTTTGATAATCTCCATCCCGCCGTCACACTGCGCGCTGAGAATTTGGTTTTTTGTGGTTCGCTGTCCTCCATATTGTTAGCTTCACAATTGGGTCACTCTCATAAAAGTCCCAGGGAATTCACATCTTTGAAACAAGTCATGGAAGCGATGGGATGGCGACTCACCAGTCCAAGGACTCAAGATGAAGAATCCTTGATCCCGCTCAGGAGTACGATGAGCTCCGCTGGTGTCCTCTTCCCAAACTTGTCCGGTGTTGCTGGTACTGCTCGGCGTGATCAACTTGAGCCCCACAACCACTTTCAGCATCATTCCCGATGCCGGTTCCGTTTCCGTTTCCGTTGTTGGTTTCAATATCGGTTCCAACCTGACTAATCTCAGCTTCAACCTCGCTCGAAACCACCCCAGCTCTAGAACGAGGTCCAGGTCCAGGTCCAGGTTCAGATTCAGATTGGAAGCTCGACTTGCATCTTCTCAACTGACAATCCTCCCAATTAGGCATGTGTACTTCACTGCCCTCTGGTCCGGAGCCAACGGGCAGACCGCAGTATGGAAGTGGGAATGGAAGACGCGGAGGCGGAGAGAAACTATTGGTCAGGGAATGAAGTTCCTGACAATGTTGCTGAAGCTGTTGCGGTCCATCCTGAGTCTCGGGCTCGTGGTCACGATGATCGGGGAAAACAATGCCCATTGGTACGAAGGTGTGTGGTCCGTAGACGTGTTGTTCATGGTTGTCGTAGACCGACGCGACGGCATGAGACGACGAACGTATAGAAAGCTGCATTGGCTGATCTGCCAGGCCGAAAAGCTCCGGTCGCTGCTGGTGCTGTGCTGCCGGATCACAAGACCGCCCCTGGGGGAAAGGCACGGAGGTGTTCGTGGCCAAATTCACCGAAGTGGCATGCCTTGGCTGGCTGTGGTGATGTCCCCGTCCTTGATGAAAATGCTCCTGCTGATGATGAAGGCAGTGGCTCTGGCGGTGATGCGAGGGAGCTCTGGTATGACGAGGGCCGGTCGGAGGTAAATCAGATACAAGACGAGGTTTCGATTTGGCCGGGGGTGATGACGCAGCAGCAGCAGGATCAAAAGTTCCAAACGTATCATTGATCTGGGCCATCCGTAAAGTGATTTCCTCCTCGCCCTTGTTTATGGCCCAATTGCGGCTTTCAGTCTGGCGGTATTCCTGGAGATACTCCCGTTCCCCGGTGATCATGGCATATTCTCCCACGTCAGGCTGAAAGGGCGTAAAACGTACCGGACACTGGCATCTTCCGCTGTCGTGGAGAGCGCGGTGATCAGCTAGCCACTCGGCCGCGTACAAGCTGGGCAAGCGGATGGCAACACGCTGCTGATCGCCGGTAGCGGTCTCGGTGAATATGGGCGGGATGTGGTAAGTTCCTGTTCCTGTATTGCCTTGCTGTAGTGCCTCCTCTACCTCCGTTGTATCGTAGGGAGTGGGAGCAGATCCACAACGTCCGATTGTGTCGTCTCGGGCCCCTTCGGTGAAGTCTTCCTCTGGACCTAGGACGTTGCCAATCACGCGAGGTCGGGTCAGAAGGCCGGGGAAGACCACATCACAGCCGCAAACTCCACGCTCATGGAGCCAGCGATGCTCCCACTCCCGAATAAGTACCCATCGTGAGTGTAGGAGTCTTTCGCAAGGGCCGCACATGGTTTGTGCTAGGTGTTGCTTTGACGGCTGGATGGTGCAGACGGGGAAGTTGTGTCCTGCGGTGGTCAGGGGGCACGGGCGAACGACACCCGGCGTTCGGTGCCCACACTGGTAGGCAATGTACTCTTGGACACACATCCCTCTGTTGACTTGAGCTGCTTGCGCGGAAATCTCGTGTCAACTGGGCCTGGCTAAGCCGCAGTTGAAAGTGAACCAGAGCTATGGTTGATTGAGCGATATTGATACGTAGAGATATCGACGAAGACTGCATTGAAGTTCAGGACCGTTGTATGAAAAAAACTGCCAACTGGTCCTGACCACTGCTTCGGTCACCCTTTGAAGCGTCCTGCGAGGTTGTTGTAACTTAGTCGTCAATCCTAAGGCGGCGGAATTGAGCGGGTTCAATTGCTCCGACGAAGAGAAGCCTTTCAAGATGAGCAGTTGTCGAAATCCGCCTGCCTGCTTGAGCACCGGAGTCCTCTCCGGGTGGTTTCCACTGAATTTGTATACTCTGATGTTTGAGCGGGCCTATCCTCATCGTTCGACAAACAGATGAGAACCTGGCTGACGACGCAGTGTTTTAAAGCGTACTTACTGCAGATGGAAGATTTGATTGACTTCTGGTACCGGCAATGGTAAGCCAAGTGCAAGTTGTTGAGGATGCCAGCCAACAACCGATCAGCTAATTTCTTCGCAGATGACCAGTTCCGCAATATGCTCGATCTAGGACTGCGATGAGGCACCGGGTTCGTGTCACTTGTAGACGATTTGTCGGTTTCGCGACTGTAGAATTGGGGCAGGTTTATGTTGACCCTGTGAAAGCTGATAGTCTCATCGAGTGGAGAGGTCTGCCTAGAGATACTATGAATAGATGGCTGGCTGGATATGTAAACAGAGCGTGGCTCGTACAGATAGCTGCGCTCAGTGAGAATCGTGTCCCAAGCTGTTGCCTGGCTCGCAAAATAAGGCTCGGTCGCTACAGGCACGCAAGGTCGAGCGCCTTGCCCGTGTCCGGTTAATAAGATACGGCAAATTGATACACTTCCTTTGGCAGAACGTCGTGATTGCGGACGAACAGGCCAGTACTAGTCGGTGGATACTACTGACGCCGGCGCAAGAAAGACGAAAGAGTGGACTGCACAGGTTGGAGCCGCAAAAGGGACAAAGCAAACGTAAGTCCAATGAGCCGGAGGGCCCGGCCATGAAGGCAGTCGATGTAGGGTTACAGGTAGAGTATACCAACCGCTGAAGCCTGGCTCAGCTGCCTCGGTGTGAGTCGAAGGATATGGGACTGAATTGTGAGGAGATCGCGTAGGGGGCATTTTGTGATCTGATGTGGTTCAAGAGGTTGTCTAGGTCCATTGGAAGTGTTTGTATAGACGGGAGTCACAATTCAAACATCGAACAAATCCCGTCTCGTAGCGGTATTGAGGGGTCTTGAGGCTCCGCGTTACCAATGATCTCGCGGTAAGTTGGTTCAGCTGCTCCCTAGAAGCAAACTCGCACGGGGTGTGGTGATACATGACACATGGCTCAAGTTGGTACAAATACATATACACTACTTCGAAAGCTGCCCATCCTGTTTGAAAATGGAGGGGCGGAGCTCAGAAGAGCTTGGTGCCGCTTCCTGCAGCCTGCTTCATGAAGAAGCTCTTCAACGGCCCAAGAGCATTGACTGCATTCAAGCCCAGTGACCTCAAGGGCACTAACGGGCCGCTTTCGGCAGAATAGAGCTTATGGAGCTTATCAACAACCCCAAGAAGCACATGGTTTGCTGTGTATCGTTCCGATACGTAAGACTCGAGTGACATGATACTTCCAATATCCTGTCCATGGGTGACGGCGTGCTCAATCGTCTTGGCCAAGCTCTGCACATCGCCCTGGCCCTGGTTCAAGCCCTGGCCTGCCAGTGGATGAATGGTATGAGCGGCATCGCCTACCAAAGCGACACGCTCTGCAATGTAGGTATCAGCGTGGCGCATTTTCAATGGGAAAGAGGCAACCGTGCCTTCCTGAACTCCAACTACGGTCTGTGGGATTGCCCGCGGGTTGAAGGATGTGTGTTGCAACCTCCACGAATACTCATCGTCTTGGTCCGCCCCTTGTGTGTGCATGAAGGCCAGATCCACTGGACTAAGACGGAATGCTGCATTGACCATAGCCACAAAATCCTTGGGCGAGAGGCTCTTGAGTATTGAGGCATTCTCCGGGGTTGTGGACCAGACGAGTGTCGAATACTTTCCAGGCATGGGGAGCATAGCCACAGGACCGGTAGGAAGGAACCTCTGGTAGGCAATCTTGGTGTGCTCTCCGCCCCAACCCTCGCCCTCCATCTCTAGCGTGGCCACCACGCCGTGTCTGTTGTAATCCCAACCCTTCGCATCGATACCCGCGAAGGCACGGACTGGGCTGTTTGCTCCGTCGGCTCCAACCAAAAGGCGGGCAGTAAGCTGCTTGCCTCCAGAAATGTGTACGACAGGCCATTGCCTAAGATCCAGGTCCTCCGTCTCCTCGCCAAAGGTAATGTTCTCAACTTTAGCACCCTCGAATACCGATACACCACCCAGTTGCTCCAGTCGCTTCAGTAGACCGGATGTGAGGTTGAGGTTTTCGTTCATGTAAGCGATGGTGGTTCCTTCTACCAGGGCCGAACCGGGTGCCCAGTCGAATTCGATCCTGGCATCCGTAACGCCATCCCAAACTTGCATTTCGTGGTACGGTTGGACTCTGGTTTGATCGAGATGTTCCCAGGCACCAATCTGGTCGAGATAGAAAGCGGATGTGGGCGTGAGGGAGCTGCATCGGTTCGAGTACTTGTTTGGCGGTAGCTTCCATGACTTGACTTTGGATAGATCCTGGGCTTCGACTAGGGCAACACGGAGGTGGGAGGTGACGGGGTTGGCGCCTGCAAACCTGAGGGTAAGCAACTGACCAAGTGTGAGGTTGGGACACAAATTGGCGACTTACGCAGGGCAGTCAAGAGACTCAGACCTGCCGGTCCTCCACCAACACACACGACATCGTAGATATCAGGTCGTGGGGCGGCGTTGTGGTATTGTCGTCGAATCTGTCGTTGGAATTGCCGGGTACAACTCAAGCAGACATAGGCAGCTGCTTTTCTCCTTGCTACTGCTTCCATAGTAGCTACAGCACTGGTGGTGGTGCTGGAGTCCCGGAATTAGGTATGACCTGATTATTATTATTTTGGATTGGCCTTCAGGGTTCATGGAGAAAGTCGCGCCAATCCGATTTCCCATGCGACATCATCGCATCAATTAAGTTGGGCGACCGATTGGCCCAAGCTCCTTTCCGCATTAGAAGAGAACCCTAACCCCATGTACCTGCCGATAGACTTCGCTATGGTTCCGCTGTTAGCGAATACACTGTCCTCTAGGTCTGTGCTCTAACAAAGTCTTTAGAGTTGTCCCTTATCCCATAACCTAGGTAATCAAACATTCCTCGGGCCATAGCCAAGGAACGTCTACAAATAACTGCAGGTGTTGTGTTCCTACCCACAGTGCCCTCAGATTCAGTTGTTATGCACATGAGAACACCGAGAACCGAACGTTCGGGCACTGTAAAGGACTTGGGACGCTTATCCAATGGAGCTGCCCCTGTTGTATTCTCCTCGATCCGGCGCTTCACAGCATTGTTTCAGAACTGGTCTTTCAGTCGAGCTGTTTAGGATTTGACAACGACCAGCCCATCAGACCGATGTGTTTCGAAATTGTTGTAGTCCCTATCACAATTTGGTAACGGCCTTTCAGCTAGAGCGCGCCCTAGTGGACTGCCTATGTTGGGTTTGGCTTTACGACCACTTCGCCACTCTGTGAATGTGAGGTTAAGAGAAGAGCAGCATAACTCTGGGAATATCAACCAAACCGCTATCTGTTTTTCACCTTCGCACACTTTACCACGAGTCTCATTCAAACTGTTCGTACATTTACGGCAAGGATCCACTCTTAAGATCGTCGATCAAGAAGATCACAGGGCAAACATGTCATGTTCGTAACAATTAGCAAATACTACAACTACGCACAGCACTAACAGAGAGGCCGCTGTAGTCCTCTCCACCAAAGCGCAACTCGTACACAAGTCTCCCCTCCCACCGAAGATCACCCGGGAGCAGGCGATAGAACTCTTACAAGACCACGAGTTCCTTCTCTCGTGCGACCCTCATCTCGCCAAATGCGAACCTCTCACCCCCAGTGCGCCGCCAGCCGTTCCAAGCGCTGTGCAGCCGCGAATGCTAGGCGAGACAAAGTCCTACAAGGTCACCGATGTTATACACACGCTGCCCGCTGGGTTGTGGGACAGCAACGTTGTCAGCACGTATGAGTTTGCGAAGCTGGATACTGGCCTCTTTGTCCGAATCAGAAGCCCGCTCTCAATGGTCATGGAGACCGTGTGGGAGATCAATGAGGGGCCAGATGGGAGGTTGGAGATTGTGGAAAATGTAGAGATCAGCTGTTCGAGGTTGTTGATTGGAATTGCCAAAGGTCAATGTGAAAGTGCTTGGGAAGGAATTCATGGGAAGATGGTGAAGAGATTGGAAGGTTCAGGCGAGGCACCGTAGATCCAGCTCTTGGATCTCTGTTGGAATAGCCAGCGAGAAAGATCTGAGCCTATTATCAATCTGAGACATGCCCGATCTTCCTTTCGGTCAGACGTGAAGATATTTCTATCAAGATGTCAGGAGACCGTGAACTAAATGAAGAGAGGTGCTTTTGTTGTTGGTTGACGTTCATGTTTTACCACCTTACATACCTCTACCTACACATTGGATTGATAGAGGCCCGCTACAGGGCTGGATCTAAGACCTGGGACCGCTGAGCTCCCGCTCAAAGGAACTTGAACATCCTCCACAAGTGGAGCAGCATCCACGTGGTGATATGCGTTATGAGGCTCTCATTGGCTGATGTCGCTTACGACGGAATCCCTTTTGGGGCTCCCTGTTTTAGCACATCGTGAGTTTCGGCTCTGTCCCCTGATTTCTATCCGCTGTCAAGTCCTCAGATTGCTGGTGGAAACCACAACAAGTCAACAACCAACAGTCAGCACGGGCACATTGTCAGCCAGCGGTGTGGACGCGCACTGACAACAAGGAGCCGCTTTCCTTTGTCCATCGATCTGTGCTCCACCGATGATCCAGCCATCGTGTTTGAGGCCAAAAATACTTTTTTGTTTTTCTGTTGCATGAAAGTTGGAACTGGCTCGTTTGTTCGGTCCTGTAAAGGATCCTGAGCGTTGTGCTTCGGTGTGACTTTCCTGAAAGTTGCCAAGTTTACACCTCTGGGCGACTTTGCCCCTGGCAGTGCAAGGAGCCGAGCACCTAACGCGGACTTGGGTGACCCTGACTCGGGCAAGTTCCGAACCTCACACAAGTCGCTCGCTTTTCTTCACAATCTCATCGTCCGTCGTCAACAACGGGAGATCTCATCGGTAGGAGGGACCGGACATACCACGCATACCGCGATACTCCTAGTACCAATTTCATGTGAGTACAACTGCTCTCTTCCTATATCGGATTGATAACATGATTTCTCATCCTTGGCAAGGTCAAGGCTTGCCCTTTCCTTTCAACCGTTTTGTCAAGGGTGTCACTCTTGGACATTGGAGTTGTACCCCTACCTTCATCTCTAGACTCATTGCTGAATACATACATTAAAACATCCGTCAACCTCACAGTTGAGGAGTTCAGGAACACTGACATCTCCCATACACCATCCAATCAGGCTTCCCTCAGTCATTGTCCTCATAGCTTTCTATCGTCGCCTTTTTTTACATGGTCACTATCTGGGAAATTTTGAGGCTCCTATGGGACTAACTTATCTAGCATCTGCGAAGTGCATTTTGAAACTCACTTGAGGCCTAGGACTCATTAGCACATTGATCTCACCACGCGCCCAGAAAGCACCAGAGTAACGCTGCACAGCTGAGGTGTCGTTTTAATTGACACACTTACGTTGCCGTCACACCGCCTGGGGCCAGAAGCCTGTCCCATATCTAGACCGGCTCGCTGGTAGAGTTACGAGAGGAACACTGAGGCTTCACACAATCATCAGTACTTTACTACCAACAGTCTCCTCGGGTCCTTGCGGGGGCAGTCAGCAATCATGGCGACCCTATCGGTATACGGGTCAGATTTCCTGACCACCACAAAGAAAAAGGCCATTGAGGATGCCAAGAAGATGCAGGCAGTTGTTGCGGAAGAATGCAATAAATCAGGAAAAGAAGCACCCCCATATCAGCTAGAGGAGCTCATCGGCAAAGGCAGCTTTGGCCGCGTCTACAAAGCGACGGATAACAAGTCCAGTGCTGTTGTGGCTGTCAAGATTATTGACATTGAGGAGAGCGACAGGGAGAATCCTAGGCTGGCAGACACGTATAGCGAGTTTATGAAGGAGACCAGTGCCCTCAAGTTACTCAGTAACAGCGGCGCAAAGAACATCAATCTCATTCTCGATGTACTGCCCGTTGGACAGTCCATGTGGCTGATCACCGAGTACTGTGCTGGCGGAAGCGTGGCTACTCTGATGAAGCCTACCGCACCCGGGGGCTTGCAGGAGAAGTGGATCATTCCCATCCTACGAGAAGTCGCAGAGGCCATATTCTGGGTACACAAAGAAGGAATCATCCACCGTGACATCAAGTGCGCCAACGTACTTGTGACGGAGACGGGCGCCGTACAGCTCTGTGACTTTGGTGTGGCTGGTATCGTGGAGACCAAATTCGACAAACGGTCGACTTTTATTGGGACGCCTCATTGGATGGCGCCAGAACTCTTTGAACCTACACCGTCTTACAGCACACCAGTTGATATATGGGCGTTTGGATCTATGGTATACGAGATTGCATCCGGACTTCCTCCCAACGTCATGTCGGGGTTCAACATCCCTCAGCTTGGCAATTATATCAAGTCCCATGCGCCTCGTCTAGAAGGAGACCAGTACTCGGACAACCTCAAGGACTTGGTAGCTTTCTGTCTGGTCGAAGACCCTGCAAAACGACCGACGATTGAGCAAGTCCAACGGCACCCTTACATATTCAACACGAGCTCTGAATACCCAACAGCATCACTTTCCAACCTTGTTCGGGGTTATAAGGTTTGGGAGGCACAGGGAGGTATTCGAAAATCGCTGTTTGCGCCCGTTGGTGCTCAAGGCCCATCCGATTATGCCTCGACTGCTCTCTCCAATGACGAGTGGAACTTTAGCACAACGGTTGACTTTGACCGGATGGCCATGGACAGCGATGCTCAAGCCGTGTATGATGTTTATGGGCATAATGTCGACTTTGACTTTGACGAAGAGCAGACCCGGCGCCCCAAGCCTAAAGGAAGGAGGCGGCCGCCTCCTCCTAAATTACTAGCTCTCAAGGCACCTTTGGAAAAGCTGTTTGATCCTAATACGATCTCCGGCTACAATGAGAACTCGCGTGCCTATTACGGTCTGGGTCCAACGTCCACATCAGAGGCAACACCAGCACCGGAGCCACCAAAAGACTCGGATCTCAACCTTCGGCAATATGAACCGAGCTCACAGGCGGCACTACGAGAGTCGCTCATAGACTTGGATGCGTCCTTTGATGGAAACGACTTGTCTCAGTTCGTGGACATGGAGACCATCAAGGCTGGACCCCGTGGTTCGGTAGATTACGCAGCTTTCAACCCGAACCCAGACTTTAGCAAACCGCCCCTCAGCGACCCGGCAGATATGCCCATGAACATCAACCGCCGTACGCAGGACTGGAAGTTTCCGTCAATGGCTGCTCCGCCAGCTTCTGCTCATCCGGAGATGTCGCGCTTCCCGTGGAATGAAGAGCGCTCCAACGACAGCCACAATGACAACTTTGTTCGGCCACCCCTCATACACCACCCTACAGACCCGCTAGGCTTCCAATCGACGGGCTACGATTCCATGCCGCCCAAGCCTCCGGTCGACAACCGCGTTTCGGTAGGGAGCTTGATCGATCTCGATGAAAGCTTACCTATGCCAACAAACGATTTCACCAATCGGGAGTATACGCGGCCATCCACAGCCAACTCGGACGCTGCTTCTGTCAGTGGTTCAGAGATAGGCGGCGCAAACCCGTTCGACCTCGAACGGCACGCTTCACTTTACCAGCCGCTGCCTGTTGTACGATCATCATCGGTCCGCGAACCGTCCATCTACGTGTCAGACGACAGCGACTACGCCCGTGTCGCTCAGGCGCCGTCAGAGGAGCATTTCATTGGGACCAACGGTCGTGGCACGCCCGACTATGCTTCATCCGTCAACGGTGGAGGCAGCATAGGGAACGGTAGTATCGGCGGCGGTAGCATCGGCGGCGGAAGTATCGGCAGCAGGACCAGCAGCCGCGCCCACTCCCGCGCGGACAGCTACAGCTACGCGACCGACGATGACGTGGGAGGTTATTCAGCTGGCGAGTACGCCGAGTCGGAATACCTGGGCGGCAGCATGGATCCGATGGCGATGAGTGGCGAAGGGCGCAACCGTAGTCGCCGGCGGCCAAGCGGCATGCGGCCGGACCCGGATTCGCACCATCCGCCTCGAGGGTACGGCATGGGCGGGAGCATGAACGGGAATAATGGTACGGGCAGCCATGGTAGCGGGCATCATGGTCACCAGGTGCATCATGGTCATGGTCATGGTCAATATCATGGCCACGGTCATGGCCACAGCAATAGCCAGGGTTCGACAGATATGATGCACATGCCTCATGTTCCGGAGCCGCCGAGAGTCAGGGTGATGCAGGGCATGGCGAATCGAGAGGAAGTGAGGGATGATGTGATGAGGTTGTTGGCTAGCTTCTCGGAGCACTTGGGGTTTGCGAATGCGCATGTGAATACGCTTCCGGTCAGGCAGGGGAGGAGGGGAAGTGAGGTAGACACGAGTGTCTGAGGGAGGTAGGGTCTTGTAAGGGGATGTCATTTGTCTCAGAACCACACTGAAGTAATTGTTTAATGTGTGTATTTGGTGTGCTTAGAGAGGTCAGGGGTATATGGTGTAGCATGGATCTAGGGTCAGGTATAGATAAGCGGTATCATACAAACAATTCACGAATCACAATATGTGTTGGTCAATGAATTACTATCTATAGTTCAGCAAGATTGAAAAAGCCGTCCATGCTCAACATGTGTTGTAGGTAAGTTTTGTTGTGGTGGTGATTGTAAGATGGGCAACCTAGAATAGGGCGTAAACTGGTTTTGGGGTGAAGTTGAGACGGATAAAAAAGAAAAATTTCTCCACAGTGACTCAAAGGGAGCCAAACCCTGAGCTTGACCACCACCACCAAGTTCGAGACTTGTTGTCTAACACAACCCATGCCTCACAAGATATTTATTGCCTAAAATCGCCAAGATAATCGACAGACTCTGGGTTTTAAATTCATTTCTCGAAATCGTCGAGTCCCCTGAATGAGGGGAACTATTTGCGCCAATATTCTCACTCTCACTATCCGATTCAAACGCTTGCACCTCCCACAACTAACCCCAATCCTCAATCGACACCACCACACTATAACCACAGAGATAACTAGACCAAAATCTACGGCAGTGCCATTAATGGCACCCGCTACGACAACTTCGACGACAATGGAAACCCGGATTCTCAAAGTGAAGGTGGACTACAGCAACATCCAAGTGCTCGGCCACTGGAAGGAGGAGTCAGCAGAACACAAAGATGGAAGCAAAACGAAGACTAGCAACCTCAACACATGGGAGGTCCCAACTACATCAGAACATGAAGATATTCTGTCTCCCATCCGCGAAGTAGCCCACCACCTCCGCACCACCGACATTCCCGTCGCCTTCCCCACGGAAACCGTCTACGGCTTAGGCGCCGATGCCACCCGCAGCGCTGCCGTCAAGGGAATCTATGCCGCCAAAGGTCGACCAAGCGACAATCCTTTGATCGTGCATGTTTGCGATTTGAGCATGTTACGGTCACTCATCTCTCCTTCCTTCTCCTCAGCAGGAGACGAAGAAGACCCCATCCCAGCCATCTACCACCCCCTCATAACCCGCTTCTGGCCCGGCCCCCTCACCATCCTGCTACCCAACCCCTCCCCCTCCCTCCTCGCTCCGGAAGTAACCGCCGGCCTACCCACCTTCGGGTGCCGAATGCCCGCCTCGGCGCTGGCTCGCTCGCTGATCAAACTCGCCAACGCCCCCCTCGCCGCGCCCTCCGCGAACGCCAGCACTAAACCCAGCCCCACCGCCGCACAGCACGTGTTAGACGATCTACGGGGTCGCATCGCACTGATCTTGGACGGAGGATCATGCAGCGTGGGGGTGGAAAGCACGGTCGTCGACGGGCTTTGCTCGCCGCCTGTGGTGCTGAGACCGGGCGGGGTCAGCTTGGAGGAGATTAGGGAGTGTAAGGGGTGGGAAGGCGTGGAGAAGGCGTATAAGGATCAGGCAGAGGTCGGAGGAAAGACGGCGCCGAGAGCGCCGGGGATGAAGTATAAGCATTATAGCCCGAAGGCGAGGGTGGTGTTGTATGAGGCGGAGGGAGGGAGGAGGGAGGTGCCGAGGACGGATGTGAGGGAGGCGGTTGAAGCGGCTGGGGAGGAGGAGGGCAAGGGAAACGTGAAGAGTGTTGCGATTATTAGGACGGGGAGGTGGCCTGTTGCCGGGGGTTTGAGGAGTCAGGGGCTTGATGATGTTGCTGCGAAGGACAGCGGGGACGTGGCCGAGACTGGGTTCGCTGTTAGGGAAGGGCAATGGCTGGATGAGGACGGCACCACGGTGTTGGCAAGGCTTCTGGAGATTAATTTGGGCAACGATGTCAAGGGGGTGGCACACGGCCTTTTCGCTGCCCTCCGAGAGCTGGACAGGCGCGGCGCGGATGTAATATTCGTAGAGGGTGTGAGTGATGGAGACGATATCGCGGCGGCAGTCATGAATAGGCTGAGGAAAGCCGCTTCCGACATTAGAATATAGACGGGGTCAAACCCCATAGATCGCAAGGAAAAAGACTATAACTCCTGTTTTCTGCTAACCCATCATTTGTTGGCTTTTCGTGTCTTTTTCTTCGTGTTTGGCTCATTACTCTGCTCTAAGAAGGCTCGCCAAACAAAAGGGCCTAATACCTTTTCACGAACCAATGCGCCAACTTTACCTTGGTTGCTCCCATCCGCCACACTCCTTCCCTTGTCGTTACCCACCCACGCATGCCCTTAGAGACCCTGACGAAGCCAGTCAGTAAGCTTAGCCTTGCCTAGTTGTGCCAAGTTGTTGACACCCTGCTCGGTGAAGGGGTCGAGGCGGCTGAGGTTGACATCCGCAGGCGGCGCCTTGCTGCATCGTTGAATGATGATGGTGGGATCGGTCTCGAGAACAACGCCGTCATCTACGATCTCGTCAATAGCGAGGGATACCAGATCGTAGTTTTCGACTATCGTGCGCTTGTCGATCGATTGCCTGAGTAGAAAGTCCGTGGTTAGCCAAATCATGTCCCATGACCGGCACCTTCACGTTCGCCATAAATACTCACTTGAAGAGCATATGCAAGCTGTCCCTAAGCGCCAAAAGTACGTTGTAGAGCAGAACTTCGTTCTCGTCCGCGCTACCAACGACGTAGATAGCAACGTCCGACTCCATCTTGTAAAGCACCACCTTGTTGTCGTAGAGGAGGATATCGCCCGTCTGCTTTGCTGTCTTCTGAAGGAGGCCCTTCTCGAAACGGGTTTGAGAAGTCTTGTCGGGATAGGGGTTCTGGGAAGCGCTCGAGGAAGCTGTTGTGCACAAGGTTCGGGCTGGTCAGCCTCACGGGAACATGCGACACCGAATAAGGGGTAAAAGGAGCGTCTATTGCGTACCGAGCCCGGCGGCCACTCCTGTTCCTGGTGCGCCAGCGGCAGCGTGAGGAGGAGTGTAGTATTTTGAGAATATCCGCGAACCGTCATCGCTGGAGAGGATTACTGTTGGAACGCAATTGTCAACATTGCTCGACGTGGCGCGTATAAGCCGGGACCCAGGAGCAGCGTGGTGCCTAGTGTACCTATAGCGTTGACGCTATACAGCGACATTCCTGGCGACATCTTGACTGGTTATCTGGGGGTTCTTGTTTCTTGATCAATTGCTGTCTCGAGACTGGTATCGGTTGGAGAAGGTCGGCGACGAGGGGCAACTCGACTTCAATGGGCGCAAGTGGGTAGGTATATAGTGGTTAGCTTAAACTCCAGAGGTGCTGCGTAGGTAGGTAGTGCTCACAATGACCAGGGGCAGGCGGTATCGTTACCGTGGTGAGCGTGGGTATTGTGGGGTGAAGCGGTCCCTGTGATGTGGCTTGAATCCAGAGCGAACACTCCAAGGCCCCACGGCGCGGTACGTACCTCAGGTACCTGACAGTTCGGACTCAACAGCAGCACTGCAGTGGCCTCGTCCGTCTCATTTGGGTATGACAGGGGTTTTAATGGGCCAACGCGAGTAAGCCCCCGCAGACACGAACGGCCGTGTAAAGTGCTTTTATCAGAGACGCGTGTGTCGCGACTGTCTTTTTTTTCGATACCTGGAACGTGATCCACCTTGCCCGTCCTGAACACGCTGCCGACCTGCCAACCACCTCGCAAATACAGAGGGATCGGGAGCCACAACAACACTCCAGCGTCTCCATCCCAACCCGTCTTCTGTCCCTTCTTGTTGGTTTAGTTCACTCTGTATCATCTCAAAAAAACCACCGAGGACAGAGCAGTAAACATGTCTTCCCCAGCAAAGCGCAGAACAACGAGAAGCTCTCAATCAGCTACTCCCCGCACCACTCGCAGCTCGCAGGCTGGTCCTTCGAGCGCAACTCCTCGCCAGACACGCGCATCACAGCTTGCCTCTAGTCCCTTATTCTACGAGCCCTCCTCGCCTGCCAATGGCGCCAACCCGGTCTCTTCTCCCTTGAGGCAGATGAGCAATACCCAGAGCACTGCCCACCAAGGCAATGCGCCGAGCTCGCCTTTGCGCCAGCAGACAGAGACCCAGAGCGATGCCGACCGAACTCCTCGCGCAAATGGACGGAGCCAGTTAATTGGGGGTATGGCTATCAACAAACAAAACTCAGGACTACACTGAATGCTGACCACACTCCGCAGACTCCTCTCCCATCCGCTATGCCTCCAGTTCTAGCCCGGGCCGTCAGCTTACTCAACAGTCCGATCTTCGTAGCGAAAGCAGTCAGCTCTTCGTCAGCTCGCAAAGATCCGTTACCGGTCGATCCCGTCGAGGCGACATCAACGGGGACCCTCTACGTACTCCCGCCCAGATTCCCCGCCGAATTATCCTCGACGACGCCGGTCGTGTGATCCGCGATGCCCCTGGCTCCGATGCCAACTCGTTTGTCACCAATAATCCCAATACCTCCGAGGCAGATGCCCTTGGTGGACAAAGCCAAGGTCTTGTTTGGGGTACCACCATCTCTCTAGACGATTCGTTCTTCGCGTTCAAGGACTTTCTCAGGAACTTCACCAGGAAATACCGGATGTGGGCAGATGGCGCGGACGAGGCCGAGACTATTGGCCATCCGGATGCGGATTCGAAGCCATATTGGGAGGCACTGGAGAACATGCTGCTGCTTGGTACCAACAAGCTGTATCTGGATCTCCGCGACCTCAAGTCCTACCCGCGCACCTTGAAGTTATGGCATCAGGCCCAACACTATCCTACCGAAATCATTCCGGTCATGGACCAGTGCGTACATGATTGTATGATGGAGTTGGCGCAAAAGGAAATGGCCAGCCAAAGAGCATCCCAAAACTCTAGGACCGCTCCAGGTGCCTCACAAAGCTCGGAGCCGAACTTCCCAAGCTCTGAAAGGAGCGAGGAACCGCCCACCCCGCGGCCTGCCCAAACAGCGGCGCCCACAATTGAGGACCAAGTCAGCCAGATGGCGTATGTGGTTCGCCCTTGGGGTCTTGACAAGATCACCAACCTTCGTGACCTCAACCCATCTGACATGGACAAGCTTGTGTCCATCAAGGGTCTTGTCATCAGAACCACGCCGGTCATCCCCGACATGAAGGATGCATTTTTCAAGTGCAGTGTTTGTGGTCATTCTATAACCGTTCAGTTAGATCGTGGCAAGATTCGTGAGCCTACAGAGTGTCCTCGGGCTCGCTGCGCCTCCAAGAACTCAATGCAGATCATCCACAACAGATGTGCTTTCGAAGACAAGCAAGTCATCAAGCTACAAGAAACTCCGGATAACGTGCCTGCTGGTCAGACACCCCACTCGGTATCTGTTTGCGTCTATAACGAGCTTGTGGACTTTTGCAAGGCCGGTGACAGAGTTGAGCTCACTGGTATCTTTAAAGTCACCCCCGTTCGTGTCAACCCGCGCATGAGGACGGTCAAGAGCGTGCACAAGACATATGTTGATGTTGTCCATGTACAAAAGGTCGACCGCAAGAGGATGGGTTCTGATCCCTCGACCCTCGACCTCGCCGAGGAGGAGGAAGCCCATGCTAATGGCCAGAGCATGGACGAGGTCCGAAAGGTCTCCCCTGATGAGGAAGAGAGGATCAAGGAAACTGCCGCTCGACCGGATATCTACGATCTCCTTTCACGTTCTTTGGCTCCATCAATCTACGAGATGGATGATGTGAAGAAGGGTATTCTTCTTCAACTGTTCGGAGGCACGAACAAGATCTTTGAGAAGGGTGGAAGCCCCAAATACCGTGGAGACATCAACGTTCTCCTTTGTGGTGACCCATCCACTTCCAAGTCCCAGCTCCTCTCCTATGTTCACAGAATCGCCCCAAGAGGCGTGTACACGAGTGGTAAAGGTTCTTCTGCCGTGGGTCTTACCGCCTATGTTACACGCGATCCCGAGTCCCGCCAACTCGTTCTAGAGTCCGGTGCTCTCGTCTTGTCCGACGGCGGTGTCTGTTGTATCGACGAGTTCGACAAGATGAACGAATCGACCCGTTCCGTTCTTCACGAAGTCATGGAACAACAGACCGTGTCCGTCGCCAAGGCCGGCATCATCACCACTCTCAACGCCCGAACATCAATCCTGGCGTCTGCCAACCCCATTGGTAGTAGATACAACCCTGATCTATCAGTGCCGCAAAATATCGACCTCCCGCCAACCCTTCTATCCCGTTTCGATCTAGTCTACCTCATCCTCGATCGTGTTGATGAGAAGAATGATCAGCGTCTGGCCCGCCATTTGCTCTCCATGTATCTCGAAGACAAGCCCGAGAGTGCCCAGCAGGCCAACGACGTCCTTGTGAGTTTTCCTCGTCTGTCAATCCACACGAAGATGAACCCCAAACTAACCAACTCCCCCTCAAAAAAAACAGCCCGTCGAGTTTCTAACCTCCTACATCTCGTACGCCCGCTCGCACATCCACCCGGCCCTCACGCCCGAAGCCGGTCGCGAGCTCGTCGATGCCTACGTCGAGATGCGCAAGCTGGGCCAAGACGTGCGTGCCGCCGAGAAGCGCATTACGGCCACCACGCGTCAGCTCGAGTCCATGATTCGCTTAGCCGAGGCGCACGCCAAGATGCGTCTATCTCAAACCGTCACGCGCGACGACGTCCGCGAGGCCGTGCGCCTCATCAAGTCGGCGCTCAAGACCGCCGCCACCGACAGCCAGGGCCGCATCGACATGAGCTTGTTGACAGAGGGCACGAGCGCGGCGGAGCGCCAGCGCAAGGCCGACATGAAGGATGCGGTTATCCGCCTGCTGGATGAGATGACCAGCGGTGGACAGGTAGTTAGGTACTCGGAGGTGGCGAGACGGCTGGGCGAGGGGGCGGGTGTGCAGGTTGAGCCGGCTGAGTTTGCGGAGGTTATGAGGGCTCTGGAGATGGAGGGTGCTGTTATGGTGACGGGTGAGGGTGCAAGAAAGAGCATAAGGAGGGTTACGGCTACTATTTAGAGTTGAGGATCAAGAGGATCGGAGTTGGATGGTGTGAAAAGGATTTGATGATATCTTCAAATGATTGGGGTTCTACGTAGTTACGGTATGCTACAAGTTGTCATGAGCTCTGTCGCATGGAAGTTTTGTATCTTTTTCAGTATAATACCACGGTGTTCGCTTGACTGTAAATACTGCTAGGAATCTTCTTGATTTTGGTCAAGACTTAAAACATGCTGCTTCTTACAAAGTCAAAAAAGGTATCAGTTCCTCGAACACTAGATAAACAAAAACGACATCGGTACCATAGCAAAACTGAAATAGATAAGTCAAAGCACGCAAACACGCCAAATTAAACAGCAGTCGTCTGCACCTCTTGGTTTGCCCCTACTACACTCTCATTACCAGTCGTATTCGTCTCAGTCCCCGTCAAACTCGCACCATCCACTTCCTTCTCATTCAATTGCTGATCAGTGACAGAAGCAGCGTTCCTCGGCTGCGAAGCCTGGGGCTGCTGGGCGTGCTGCTGGACTGTCGTCGGAGAAGTGGGCGAGTTGCTAGTAACATACTTGGCGTCCTCGTCCAAAGCCGCCGCCGTCGTCGTAGGTCGCCAGTCGCGCAGATCGTCTTCGGCATTATTGAGGGTTTGTCTGGCTTGGTGACCTTGCGTATACGGGATCTGCGAGTCACCGGGAACGATGGGGGTGTCGTCGAGCAGGTTGAGCAGACGCAGGCCGTGCCGGGCGAGGATGATTTGCTTCTCGGCGCGCTCGATGGTGGCGAGGAATTCGGCTGAGTAGGCTTCTTTGAGTTTTTGACGGGTCTATTGTTATTTGTCAGCCATTTGAGTATGGGGTTGTATAAGATGGGGAAGGAGCCTCTTTGGGAACTGATTTTCTCTTTGGAAAAAAAAAAAAAAAAAAAAAAAAAAAAGAAGAAGAAGAAGAAGAAAAGGGGAGAGAGAAGTAGATGATCCGGTAGGGATAATGGATGGACATACAATATTCGTCAACTGCGCTTCCGCAACCAAGTTCTCCGCCTCGGCTCTGACCAGCTCCTGCTCCAGCACCACTAGCCTTGTGCTCTCAGGCTCTTTGGACTTCAGCTTCGCAATCTCGTCCGTGATCTTGTTCTTGCCGTCCCGGCTCGGCTGCACGCTCTTCTCCGTGTTACGGATCGTTTTCAGCGTACCGCGGCTCTCGTCCAGTGCGTGCGCGTAGTTGTCCTCCTGCTCGCCCAGTTCCGACAGGATCACGCCTACTTTGTCGCTGATGTCGCTGATCCCTTCGTCGGAAGTCTGCTCGCCCCACTCTGAGAGTTGTTGGGCGATCGAGAGGCGCTCCTTGGCAGCCGTCTCGTGTGCTGAGATCAGGTTGTTCTCGGACTTGATTAGACGGTAGAGCTTCTTGGAGAGTTCCGGTTGGATGGTTCCCCGGAGAGAGGAGAGGCTGAAGCCCCGGCGGGAACCGTGGTGGTGAGAGGAGAAGTTGGTGGAGGAGCCGCCGCCGCTGCTCCGGTTGTTGGAGCGGATGGAGAGTGCTCGGTTCCTGAGAGCAGAAGTGTTAGTAGTTGTTCGAGCAGAGCGATATGTTGAAGAACAGAGATACCACAGGCTTGGAGAGCGACTGCTATCGATGCTCTTGCGGGACATGGTGATATGTTTCTTGGAGGTCACAAAGGTTTACATCGATAGGTTGATGGATTACATGTGGGCTAACTCACATGGTGTCTGATGTTTTACTGATGACAAGTAATACGAGTGTTCGGCTCTTGGTTTGGTTAGGACTTCGATCGTTCTTTCTGTTGTGAGTTCTTCTCCGGAAGGCGCTGCCTTAGAGTACGTTGATGGTCGGATCAAAGAAAGTAGGTAGCAGTGAGGTTAGAGAAATGAAAGAATCAATTATCGTAGAATGAATTTGTTTCGGAAGCAGTATCCTGGTTTACGGTTCCTGCGTAAGAGGCACGAAGCGTATGAAGCTGATCGACGGGGAATGCGTGCCACTCTCTCGGTAATCTCGGGCTCGACGTCACTAGGCGTAAAAAGGCTGAAATAAGGTGATATAAATCAAGGTATCTGATACTCCGTAGATCCTAGTTGATCGTAAAGTTGGTCGGCTATGAATCGGACATCGACTAGGAAAAGGAGCTGGAGTGATACGGTACTCCGTTCTTGAGCCTATGCAGTCTGTCACCTGCCTTCGTTCAGCTGAAGCATAACTTCGCCGTCCACACTCTGAGTAGACCTGTTTCCTGGTCTTATGCCAGCCGAATAAAGACGTGGTGTTGTTACTGTCGTCATGACTTCGGTGCTTTTAAGTCTGTATAAAGAATTTGTGTGACGTCATAGCACAAGACTCCGATTCCCATCCGCTTTGGGGATCAAACCCCACCTTCACCACTGCTCTCCCCCTCAGCTTGTTGAGTTCTCCAAGATGTTATTCGAGCAGTGGCAAGAATAAACCGACCACGCGCAGTTCTGATGCTGGTCGTCTGGTTTCAGATAAGACCCTTTACTGCTTTGAAGGTGTGAAAATTGAGGTATGCCCAATATTGTAAGTAAAATACTTTGTATAGGACCGTACTTACATCTTTTTTTCAAGGACTCTGCTTCGTTGCTCAAATCAAAACACATGTCGATCTTCGGGGCCTGAGTTTCTACACTAGGCGCTGTCTCGTGCAAACGGCTGCTTTCCTTACCGAGCATCCGGCTTCTCTATTAACCTCAAAAGGCGGAAGCCTTTCTCAACCGCTGAATGGATGAATTCAACAAGTTGCACAATCAATACCACCACTGGTATCACAGCCAGAAAATTCCTCTTCTCCCATGGAATATCTTTTCTCTTGCTCCTTCAAGATATCTGGCCGCTGGAAGTATGACGATGATACACTTATATAGGAAATTTTCACTCAACCCATATGCCTAACAAACCACTCCGCCTGCTCCTAAATTATTTCCTGGTTGTAAACTTGAGATTGATAAGACTGAGAAGCCAAAGGCTGACGAAGACAGCCATCGAGCTGCTAAACACAACCAGAGGCTTGCGCAGAACAGCGGACATGGGATAGTCATAGGTAACGGTGAGATCACGATCTCTGAAGTCATCGACCAAGTTGCGCCCCTTAATGACGAGAGCTGTGCGGCCCATGGTGTCCAAATAGGTCTTGTGAATCTGCACACCCGCTTCGGAGATCGAGGACTTGGGGATTGCGGTGGTCCATTTTACGTTCCTGTGTGAAGCAGTGTCAATAACACGTTAGGGCAGTTCTGGGGTAGTAATAACGTACTCGGCTCCCTCAGGCAGGATCAGACGGACCACAACCTGCTCATACTCGACACCCTCGGGCTGCTTGGGGCCCTCAAGGAAAGGAACATTAAGAACGAAGCCTCCGGTCGCCGTATTGCGCAGGAAATTCTTCGCATCCGAGTTCCAGCCAATGGTGAACGGGTACTTCCAGCCTCCAAACAAGGGGTATCTAGGCTTGATTTCAAGCAGGGCCTCCCTCTTGTTGCTACGGAAGCGGGACGTGGAAACGTTGCCAATAACATCGGTGTAGTAGGGGTCGGCACTGCCAACGCGCAAAGGGAATTTCATCTCCTTGAGCGCATGAGTGACAGGGTTGTAGTATTGTGACTGCTGCCACTTGACCCGGTTGAAGAGGGACGAGAGGTTGGCACCCCGGTGCTCGAGATCGTAGCGCTCCTCAAACGCCACATTTCCGCCCCAGTGACTGACCTCAATGTCGCGCTCGAGGCGAGAAATGTGAATCAGGGGCTTGTTGAACTCAAACCGAACCTGAACAGGCTCAAGCGCACCGGCTGGCTTCTCATCAAAGGGACCATAAACGAGCTTGGATCCTTGTTTCTGGGGGAACTCCTTGACGTCTCCACTGCCGGGAAGCTTGGTGTAGTCGGGGATGTTGGTCGATGCGAATTTGACTTCGGTCTTCTGCTTGGATGTAGTGTATACCGAGGGGCAGTAGGCCGAGAAGGAGTACGAGAGAAACTGTTGCTCCTCCTGCTTGATCGAGGCGGGAAGAGGCTTGTAGGCGTCCAGAAGGTAGTAGGTGATGCCCAATGTCTGCTGCGCGCCGGGCGCGAGAGGTGTGGGCAATCCGATTCGAACGTACTGGTTGGGACTATTCAAGAGAGGTTAGATGGGAACTTGGGTGACAGACGGACAAAAATCACTGACCCAAACGACTCGAATTCTACCGGCTCAACAACGAATGGACCGGATTCGGCATTCTTGCGATCTCTAACCTCCAAACCACCCAGACGCGACAACTGCTCGTTTGTAAAAGGCAAAATGTAATCGGACTGCGCCTCCTTGTCGATGTTTTCTATTACGACATTGATGGATTCCTTGACGTAGTTCTTCTCCAATGACACGATGTGGACGAGATTGACATTCTTGAAGACTTGGGGCGGCGTAAATGTTGCTGGGGCGGAGGCGCTCGAGGTGCCGCTATCGCTGTGCTTGTGGTGGTGATGGTGTCCATGCGCCGAACCTCTTGAAGCTAGGGAAAGCAACGAAAGGACGGCAGAGAAGACGGCCGATGTCTTCATCTTGAAGGAAAGGGGCGGGACGCGTTCATGAACCGTCCAATAGTCCAATTGAAGATGTGATGGACTAAACTTGGGAAAGGGACCTAGCTGGCGCTGCAGTCAATTACACGAGAAACTGGCCCTCACAGAGTGTACCGACAAGCATCACCGTGGCCTCTCGATAATTCGGCCGTGTCCCGCCAGCTGTCCAGCACTTCTCCAAAGTGCTTACGTTGCTGTTATGGTGGACCCCTGTTCGTCCGTAAGAGATGTCCACACCTTGGCAAGTAGAGCTCGGGCCATCAGCCTTGTTGCCGGGCTCGAGCCGGGCCTCGGCCGGCGGCCGGGGTTTCTGGACTTCGGAGGTTGATGGCGCCGTGATTCCGACTTTTATGTACTTGTGAGTTGAGGGTTCATGAGACGGGAGATGTAAGATGTTCTACATCGAGATCGGGCCGGTTCATGGGGTTCACCCCAGGGCAGTACTCGTTAGATCTACTGTACCGATAAAATTGATCGCCTGACCAGCGGGCAGTGGCACCTGATGAGTACCTTATGTATCAGCTTTTGGCGGGCGTTTCCGTCTGCATAGAACCGATCGACCCTGAAAATAGGGGCCCGGATGTCTCGCCGGGTATGACCA